TATTGCCGTGGAATATTTTATAACTTAGTGTAGTTTCAGCCAGTCTATCTGCCTCTCGACTTCCCCTGTCTACACTTGAGCGACCTGACAGTATCCGAGCCCTCGTGCCTCCTTCGTGTGGCATGGCAGCTAGGCACCGGAAGGGTACTACAGCTGAACGATTATTTATTTATTTATATTATATCTGATGAGATTAGTATGGTATTCGGCCAAAGTGATATTAGTAATTAACATCCAAGACAAAAGCGTTTTCCATTCGGGCAACCAGTATAGGGTCGCTACTTATTTGGAACTTTCAGGTGATGTAGATCACTCATTCCGCCTTAAAAGTAACCGACTATGTGAACAATGCGTCGAGGGTGCTTTGAATTTAGGAATGTCTTACTTTTGTTGTTGTGGGTGTTTGGGGGATTTACAGAATCCATGTTCACATCACTCGTTTGAACAGTCCACTTCCAATCTAAGCGTAATGGTTGTGGTTAGTCCACACCAAAGGGGAGAAGCAGTGGACTCGAGTTTCGCTCTAATTAGAGTTCATCAGCAGTGCATGTCCAATGGCCGTACCGGGGTTTGAACTCCGGACGTCCGACTTGCTAGGCTTCCACTAACTTCAAACTACGCGCATCTGGATTTTTACGTCTGAGTGATGTGAGCGGAAAGCCCTACGCCTCGAATTCTGTAACATAGCTTGGTTGTGTCGGTCGATTGACTCACCAGTCTGGATTCCGCCACAGGCACTTGAAGCCTGATGAGCACATTTTATTTTAGTTGCCGGTGGTTGCGGGATTTGTAGATCACTCACTCACGTGACTCTTGTTTAAACAGTCGTCCATACCAGAGGGGGGAAGTACTGGACGCGAGTTTCGGTCCTAATTAAGCCCACCAGCAGTACATATCCCTAACCATGCCGGGGTTTGAACTCCGAACCCTATTAGGAGCGAAACTCGAGAATTGACTCACCCAAATAAGTAAGCCGGACAGGAGGACGACTTCTCATATGGGAGTGATGTGAACGTGAACGCAAAAACCTGCAATAAAAATCAAAAATTTTCCAGAGGTTTCGGGTGTTCTTGGCGTTACCTGACAGGCCGGCCAATCGATCCTCACTGGGTCTTCGTTGGAAGAGTCGGGTCAACCAATCACATCGTCCAGGCTTGAGCACGTTCGCCTGTTCCGATGCGTCTAGCGTGAGCCGACATTCATTCATTCATTCATTCATTCATTCATTCATTCATTCATTCATTCATTCATTCATTCATTCATTCATTCATTCATTCATTCATTCAGCTGCCATGCCACCAGAAGGAAGCACGTTTATTCGTTGTTCGTTCACTCATTCATTCCATTTTCGAACGATAGTTTGGACCTATCGAATTGGAGGTTATTTGAATTGAGTCTGACCCCTGTGGGTCGTGAAGGCTGTTGGTGTCATCTATCAGTCGATTTCCTACGTACTTGGCGCGGTAGTTCGTCGGTCCACGGCATTCCAGCAACACAAGCCTTAAGGGACAGGATAGATCTGTCGGCAACCTGCTTCTCGTTTGCTAGCGTGGTCGCTAGGGTTCAAGATGGACCAAGTGGTTAGAGTGCGAATTTACTGACCGGAAGGTCCGTTTTTCGAACTCGACCTCTGCCTCTCGAATTCCCCTGCCTAGGCTTGGGCGACCTGGCAGTATCCCAGCCATCGTGCCTCCTTCTGGTGGCATGGCAGCTGGTCACCGGGAGGGTGCTACAGCTGAACGATGATTGAGGGTTTGGTTAGTCGTACAAGATGTATCCCAATCTACGTAACGGTTGCTATCGGTAGCTCCCCGTACAAAGTTGTATTTTCGAATCTAATCGTCCGCCAGAGGGAGACGGCCGAAACCAAAGAAATTTACGGGATAGACAAATTGTGCCCTTGGAAGAGGGCTTTTGCGATAAAGATTTATCCCCCCCCATACAACCCCCTATCCCTGGATCAGTTCAGTCTGTCACAAACAATGAACCGAAGTGCAGTGGTTTCGTTCACCGAGGATAAGGAGACTGAGGGCCTTGCGTCCGGGGCGGTGGCTCAGTCAATCCATTAATGATAAATAAACCTGTTCACCCAGTATGCCAGCAGGAAATGAAGGCTACACAGTGAATGCAATGGCTTTGATGCAAGAGCCCCATTGGATGCGTGGTACAGCCATATCTATCAGGGTCGCTAACCCCATGGTTTATCACAAGACTTGGTGGATGGCGTACTCCACGACGCAGCTCTGTCGATGACGGCGCTTCAGTTGGATTCGAATTCACGTTATCAACGTTTATGCGCCGAGGTCCTTGCAACCAAAGAAGACGCTCAGCGAGAAGACTGCAAAGAGCACGTGTCAGTCGTCTGTTCGCATTGATAACCAGACAGTCGGTTACGGCGCTGCTCTCGTCTCACCCGATGGAAACGCGGTAGGTTATTTTGGGGCCCCTGTTTCCACTACAATCTCATCATGATTTGGCCGATCGTTTTGTACAACATTCCTCCAGGACTAGCTGAACCTCCTCTGCCCCATGTTATCTTCTCGGGGAGGTTGTGGTTGAAGCTCTCTCAAATACGCAGTTTCGTAACCGGTCAGGTTAGTTCGGTGGAAAGGATTACTTATGTCTTCGACTGGTATTCAGCAGTACATTACTGTTTAATTGTACACTCCTTTCACCTTTTAAGCTTCACCGGAGGCCGCTTGCTCCTCTCCCGGAGGCAGTTGTCCATGGAAAACTCCATTCCATCCATCCACATCCCCACCGTTCCACACCGCCTGTTCCCGGTATGTGATCAGTTGTTTTCAACTTTGTGTTACACCGTTTTGTCTGGTTCCTTCAAACAGTTTTGTACATTCTAATTTTAGCACCTTTTCCAATAGTTCATGCATCATGTATCACGCGACACTGCAAAGAGGCCGCAGCTGAGGGTTGGTAAAAAATTGTGCTGTTATCAAAGGCAAATGCCAGTGAGCTCGCTATTCCTGTGAGTTCGGGTATATACTGATCGGTCGTTTGTAGTAGGCTTGGGAAAGAGCTAACCAAGGGCATACGTCGTGCTTGGTGTGCGTTCTGACTGACCATCATAAGAAAATCGTTCAGCTATAACGCCTAGCTGCCATGCCACCTGAAGGAAGCACGAGGGCTGAGATACTGCCAGGTTGCCCAAGCCTAGGCGAGGGAAGTCTAGAGTCAGAGGTTGGGTTCGAACCACGGACCTATTGGTCAGTAAATTCGTGCTCTAACCACCGAGCCATCTTTTCCCTCATTGTCCATCATCCTTTTGTCTATTCGGATGGTCGCTTGAAATGGAACTCATTCATCGCAACTGTCCGGATTAGGGATCGATTGAAAGAAGAGAGGACTACATACAGCTTGTCCTGACCAATCGATGCAGTATCCGCCCCGAAAGGTGACACCCTTCAATGGATCAGTTTACAGTGGTATTGATACCGTTCATTGCAAAACATCATGGTCTATTTTAGATTTCTCATGTTGGTAAGCGCATACAATGAGACAGTTGTCTGATCATGGTTGGTTGGTTCATTGATTATTCAGCTGAACGAAGAATTGGAACAAACAAGCGCCCAATATGCTTGATAGCGACCGGCCTTCAAACGCTATTTAATTTTGTTATACTGTCCCGGGGGCGAGATTGTTCAAGCAGTTAGAGCGCGAATTTACTGATCAGAAGGTTCATGGTTCGAACCCGACCGCTGCCTCTCGACTTCTTCTGTCTAGGCTTGGGCAACCTGGCAGTATCTCAGCCCTCGTGCCGTGCTTCCTTGGAATGGCAGCTAGGCACCGAAAGGGTGTTACATCTGAATGATACGTTATACTGTCCTGTACGATGCCATACTACATACAACTGAGGATGGTTAACGCATTATACCGTTGGTTGATATCGATTTGTCGATGCCGAAGGTGTTCTTCATATATTTCCGACAAATCGAAGCGCTGATTCAAGGTCACCTGGGTCACTTCGGTTGTCTGGGACAATATTGCTTCAAAAAATTTCACGTTTAGCGATCCAGTGTTCGAACACAGTACTCATTACTCAACAAGCGTTTTCCTTCCCTACATATAACTGCCCGCTTGTATTGGACTGATACCGCAGTTATCTTCACATTGAGATCTAACTCCTTGATTGAACAGAGGATCGATTGTGGATACCTGGAATTTCCCTTCCAGATGATGTTCAAGAGTTTAGTTAGGTCGTGAGAGAGCTCTTATCCACCATCAGGACTGGGTGCTTTGTTTTTCTCTAGAACTTTTACTTCGTGTTTTTCCCGTTGGATCGCCGTAACGGACAATTCAGATCAGTTGAATCATTCTTCGCAGTGTTCTGTCCATTGAAGCAGACGTATATACCTTGAGTGGAGTTTTCGACCGTCCATCTCTAGGGGGACTTCACGGATCGGCAGCTTTATTGCCGCCGTTTTTCGTTCATTCGTAGTAACTTCCTCCGATCGGTCTTGAGACTGTGGTTCCAGCGTTTCACCAATCTTCTTGCCGAATCGTATGCTTTTCAAGTTTCGATCAGAGACATGAATCGCTCTGATCCCACTTGGATTAAGCCGCTACTTTGATTTTGTGGGTTCATGGTCTTTCGAATGTCGCACTAGGCCTCATTCGGTTTGATGTTAACGGAGCGAGATGGACCAAGTGGTTAGAGCGCGAATTCACTGACCGTGGTTCGAACCCGACTTCTGACTCTCGACGATCCCTGTCTGTCTAGGCTTGGGCAACCTGGCAGTATTCCAGCCCTCGTGCTTCCTTCGTGTGGCATGACAGCTAGGCACCGAAAAGAGTGCTACAGCTGAACGATCACGGTTACATCTTGTGCGTAGTAGATGATCCTTGCCTGGGTTGCAGCTTCTATATGGACACGAATCCTTGCAGATGCTCTAAAAAGGAACAACAGTCTTTAACACATGTTCGCCATCCGGGCCGGTCTGACTGCCCGTTGGGTTACGGTTGGGCTGTGTCGGATATCTCAGTATTCACGTCAGCACTTGTGTCAGCGACAGACGGTAATTAACACACAGTTGTATGAAGTTCTCAACATTGGTAGCTTTGAGACCACCGAGACGGCCTTCTTGCTTGTGGATCCTTCCCACTGGGACGTTCAGATCGCGAGGCTGAACACCGATATCCTTGTACTTTTCTCGCTTGAAGAAGGTTGGGTGGATTTTCGTTGAAGATGCATTCGACAGTGCCACTGCTGAGGTTTTTTGGACACTTTCCGGAATAGCGAAAAGTTTTTGACCGACCCGGCCTATGGTACCGACGTGAGAGTACCATTTGGTCATCCCGTCCCTTTTCGGGTTTTTGGCTCCGCGTAGAATATAATAGAACATCGTCAGTTCCCCAGCCCCGATGATGATCTGAGGATGGGATCTAATCGGTTGGGCGACGATCGCACTGGCCCTCACTTCACCCTGCCCGGTTCCAAAGCATGGTGCCCGTGGTGGAGGGAGGGTCCGCAAATCTTCCGCCGTGTGAAGCGCGGTTGAGTTTGTGGACACTCACATATTATACGTTCTTCTTGCTTAGTCCGCATCTCTTGAGTGCTCGGTCATTGAGGCCGCCTATATCGATGGTGTGAAATGTACTTGAGTTTTATGACAAAAACCCCGGTGTCCTGTGTGACCAATCGCGTCTCCGCTTTCTGAACGTTCGTGTTCAGTCGAAATGTACTGCTGTTTAGACATATCACGCTTTTTGTATGGCTTACTGTTATTTTTTCGGTGTCATGTGACGTGCGATGGGTGACCGTAAATAGATTATCGGATTTGGAGTACGCATCACGTCCGGTTTCACGATAAATTAGAGTTCGTGACCTCCAAATAAGGATAGCGCGACACTTATCGCTTTGTATGGAACCCGAACTGTACTGAACAGAAGACGAATGGAACACAATGCGGCGTTCATGATCTGACCACCAGAACGCGTGGATGGCAATTAGTAATTAGCCATTTCTTTTTAGTTCCACAGATAACACGACTGTTTTACAAAGGCAGCACAGATGGGGAAATTGGGCAGGTTTTTTGTTCGTTTTATGTTTTCATTCACCGTTGGACTCGTCGAACAATGTTTCGCGCTAGAGCGACATCAAACGAATGCGTTTTTTTCATCTAGTTTTTTCTTCAAAATTTCTCTGCTGATTTGCCAACCTGTTCTTTCTGACTGCTGACACCGCCCACAGCCTAATGTCGAAAAAAGAGGCTGATAGGAGGGAGCACAACAGCTATATTCCGAACAAGCGAGTGCAAGAGCTTGGGTGCGAATGTACAACGATCTCAAGCTATTCATTGGTCCAATGCTCACGCACGCAGTCTGTCTGTGACGCGCTGTACATTGCGGGGGCGTTATCTGACCTTGACCAACGCTGACTCGCGCTGTCTAGGTTTGATACAAGGCTGTGAAGCGCTGCATATTGAGGGGGCGTTGTGTGTCTGGTCAGCATCCAGCGCAGCTGAGGATCTCGGTGGATTTCAGGCATTCGGTGGTTGCTTTCAGGACTCCGGCCTTCCTGATGCAATCAGACCGCACAAATGCTTTAATTCAGTCAAACGACTGTCTGTGACCCAATGTTCTGTACTGGAGGTTTCATTCCGACACCATCAGAGTTAGTAAACTGTTGAAATATTGGTTGTTGATCTGTTTGCCAAGCTTGGTGACGAAACGTTTGTCAAGCTCAGCGAACAGATCAACAGCCACCTGGTCAACAACCAACCATCAGGGTTACTCATACCGAGTTGGTAAGGGGATAGAGGGCTGACGAACACGGTCTCCCAGGTTGTTCCTTAAAAACACGTGTGCCATTGTAGGGGTCTGCGGCACCCACTCATACCCATGAGCTAAAGATTTGATTGAAGGCATCTTTTCCAGATGTGAGTGCTTCGACGCTCCGCCAACCTGCGTACGACTGTCAGTTTAGAGCGCAAATTTACTGACCCGAAGGTCTTTGGTTCGAACCCGACCTCTGACACTCGAATTTCCCTGTCCTGGCAGTATTCCACCCTCATACTTCCTTCGGGTGGCGTAACAGCTAGGAACCGAATAGGTGTTACAGCTGAACGATTTTTTCCCTTTTCAGTTATTTTTTCATCGCATTCCCCTGACACTATCTTATGCAATTCTTACCTTTTTAGGTTAGATTGTACAGATGGCCGCCCACTGGACACACTACACACAGCTTCCCCACACCCAGTTGACGGCGACTCATTCACCGGTCTGCTTGAGCTCGAAGCTCCTCTGGCGCGTCCTGAGTCGGCCGCTACCGAGGATGGCTCTATGGTCAAGGGCGACAATGTGGGTCCGCTTCGATTGGCTCGTGGTTCACCACGCCGCCCCGAGGAACTGATGAGCGAGCTATCTGTACGAACGTTAACGGGATTGGAATTGAAGGAATTGAACAGAATACGACGTCGAATGCAGCGTTTCCCCGGTCAACGACGCAACTCCCAGGATACCGATGTCGGTTCGGAAAAGAACGCGGTTGAATTAAAAAGTACATTCCAGGATCTAGTTATGAAACGTTTGCATCATGTTAGACTACTGAACTAAATGATTCAACTTGATATCACATTTCGAATCTCGCCACATCGTGGGTTCCGCAGAGTGAGAGAGAAACCGCCAATCAGATCGCCTCAGTAACTAGCCTAAACTTTGGGTGTCGCTTTGAGGATGGGGTCGGTTTTCTCAGATGACTTTCTGTTGTATAGCATTGTGCGCAGTACGCTGCTTAATTTGTAGAAACGATGGTACCGTCGTCAAAATCTCTCCCGGCGCAACCAGGTCTTCGCTCAACTACTTAGCTTACCCTAATGTGTAAATGGAAAAATTCCCTCTCGGACGTTTCGAAAGGAAATGACAAAGCTGTGAAATTTGATATAAGGTCGGCGGTTTGTGGGTGTCACTGTCATCTACTACTTCTGTTCTGGCTCTTGAATAGCACCTCATTTGTATCACTTTGTAGGTCATCGATTTTTTGAACTTCCGGGTACTCGACGTCGTCGCTGTACGCGCTTCCGCAAGAGTCTTCTTATGACCCCACAACGAAGCTGGAGTGTTCTCGAGCAAGCTGCAACTCTTGGACCCGGTCGGCCAGACGGCGTTGCTTCACATGTAGTCCGCGAAAACACGGGGTCTGCGGGACCGCGTACAAAAGAACCTCGGGTTTCGAGAGCTGCGCGGCGCATAACGAAAAACGATGCATCATTCAATGCAGGTGCTGCTCTAAACCCTGGATCGGCACACGTTGTGGAAAACAGCCAGTCTCCTGGTCAAGTTTTTGGAGGTGAGTTTTAATAACACACCCATTTCGCACTGGTCTTGGATCAGTCGTTTGCTTTTGCTGAACGAGGAATTAGAACAGAAGACGTGGATACGTGCGTTTTGGAGTAAGGGAATGCTTTTCCCCTGAAAAGACATCAATGGTGGTCTACCTTTGTCGAGGAAATTCGTTATTCCAGGTGACCTACTTTCAGTCTGGGACTCAGGAATCACAACTAGAATACTGGAGATTTTACACATTTAGAAAAAAACAGCAATTCAATGTCCAGCCTTGTTTTTCGGCTTTACGATAAATATTGACAAAAGTAGATTGGTTGGCAAATTTATCCAGAAAATTCTAATGTTGAAACTATCAATTGACCTCGAAAACTGTGATAGGTCACTGGGACTACCGTTGACATCAAACGGCTTCACTACCGTACAGCCATGTCAATTTATTTTAACGGGACAGGGAGGGAGTTATGCCACCACAAGCCTCCGAGTGGCGTACACCTCCAAAAAAACCGTTCAGCTGTAGCACCCTTCCGGTGTCTAACTGCGATGCTGCTCGAAGGAAGCACGGGGTTTGGGATACTGCCAGGTTGCCCAAGCCTAGACAGGGGATGTCGAGAGTCAGAGGTCGGGTTCGAAACACGGACCTTCCGGTCAGTAAATTCGTGCTCTAACCACTTGGGCCATCTCGCCCAACACGTAGTCAGACAGTCCGAACATAAACTGACCGCGTGAACGCCTTTGACATAGGTTAGCTGCCATATCGTTCAGTGCCTCCTGTCGAACATATGGATGGTCACGTGAACCTCATCCTGGAAAACAAACAACATCCAAAATTTCCGCAACATCCTTCATTCCCTTGTGCCATATCACATTTCGTATAACTTTGGATTTCCGCCATTTCGGACGGAAAACATCTCGGTAGACGGTAACTTGGCATGTGTAGTGCAGGCCCCATCCACCGTAGCTTACATGCTGGACGCCTTCCTTGAGTAAAGTACCGTCTGCTGATCAAGTTCGCGGTTGCATCCGATTCCAGCCATGGTTCTTAGACATCGATGATCAAAGACCCAAAGATGTCTCATTTCCTCCAGTCGAAGTGGTCAAGCACCACTGTGAAACAGCATTGTTCGTCAACTCCTCGGCACATGAATAAACGGTTTCAGTGCAAGTTGTTCAACCCTGCACAGATTTCCCCTGAATATAAACACAACGTGATTTGTCGATTCTGTACCACCAATTCGAGAAAAAACAGTGTCACGGGATGGAATTCGACCACGTGCTCTGCCCTTGACATCCCTATTACCTTCAATTGCCAAAAGAATCGATTAGAGAACTTGTGACGATCGTTGCACCTTCAATAACGTCACAGTCCTCGACCGCTACTCTCTTCCTCACATTGGTGATTTTCCTACTGTGCTATAGGGGAAGCGTGTGCTCCCTACAACCGATTCAGTGCACGCCTACCATCAAAACCCATGATAACATCCCAAAACGACCTCTCTTTAACCTCTTTTTGAGTTTGATGGCTTACATAATGCTCCTCGAAAGTTCCAGTGTTTTATTGATCATGTTCTTCACCGTTTTGGTTTCGTTCTTCCCTGAATCAGTGATAGTCTGATTGCTTTGTTTGAGGTGTTCCATAGGACCTTTTGCGTTTGCGATCGATTTGAACACTGTGGCCTCACCATAAGTGCTTCCGCAGGTGTTGTAGGCTCGTATACGTTGGACTTTCTTGGCCATCGCATTGATTTAAATTGTGTTAACCCGCAGTCCGAGCAGGTTACCACGATTGCAGACTTCTCTGCCTTACAGTCAGTCAAAAGCTTATGGGACTTTTGAGTACATTCAGCTAATAGTGTCATTTTCTTCCTGACTGTTCAGCCTCTGATTTTTTGCAGTCAAATTCCACACGCTGTAGGCGCATTTCGTGTAGAAAAATCGCCTCGGCCGATGTCTTCCTGCTGGCACACTTCATTAGTGACCCAAGTACTCACCTGGATGCTCAATGGCTCAGTAGTTAGAGCGCGAATTTAATAAGCGTGAGGTCCGCGGTTCGAACCCGAACTCTGCATCTCGACTTCCTTTGTCTAGGCTTGAGCAACCTGGCAGCACCCCAGCCCTCGTGCTTCCTTCAGGTGACCTGGGAGTTGGACACGGAAAGGGTGCTACAGCTGAACCTACGGATGCCTACCTCTCAAGTAGCCATTGACGCTGTGTTCGCGAGTGCCTACACTTACAAGTCCTCAATCGGACAGTCTGGAAAGAAACTGATAGCGCAAACGCCATCGACATCGATTTGTCGCCATTTCTGTTAGTCTCCACCAGAAGCAGAGGGAGGGTTTATGGGGCCGTATTTGGGAAGGCGGATGACACGAAAACACCCAAACTCTTCGTAATCTCCTTCACAGCCCTGTGCCAACGCATCGTTGTCAACCTCGAAGTTTATCCCATTCTGAAGGTGTCCGGAGGCCAGCCGTCCCTAATTACCGAACATCACACCCTCTGGACGGATGTGTCACGTGCAGGATACGCACCAAACGAAGCCATGCTCTGATTGGTCAAAGTGCCAGCCAATCCGGATCGAGCATCTTTAACTCGACGCTTCTCGCCCCCTCACGAAGATTCTAGCACGACCTATAAATACGGTTGTAATAATTCTCCTGTCTCCATAAAGCGCTGTGTAGGGCAACCGTGCCTTTTGATATACCATAGTGGGCGGAGCAGGAAAGCCAAGGGACCGATACAGAGGTGCACTACCGTTTAGCATGACACAACAGGAGGCATGGAAAACAGCACTCGATTCTGTAGATGAACCTGGGGAGGTCAAACAATGGCTTGGCTGCTAAGTACAAAAGCCACTACGAGAAAACTCAGCTGCGTTGGTTATTGCCCGTTTCTCTCGATGGGAACTCCGAGACATCAATGGTTAGTTACACTGTTGCACATAACCCAACCGTGTCCTCAATGGCGCTGATGCATCCGAACTATCGCCTTCCATCATCAGTTTCATTGAGTATCACCTCGAATGCATAGCTATCTATGTCACCTCTCCGAATCATCGGCAGACGAAACTGTGCCAGCTGTGACCACTGTGCTATAACGTTACATGTTGTGGACATGGGCTTCCATCGCTTGCTACCAGGCTACGAGTATTCCTTGTTTTAATTGTACTTGGAACTGATGCCGCGATCTTCGATTCAATCTGGAGGATCGAAATACGAATAGCAATCACTTCAACCAATGCCCCACCTTCTTGGTTTTGATCCAACAGGTTGGTTGGGGGCGAGATGGCTCAGGTGGTTAGAGCGCGAATTTAATGACCAGGAGGGTCTGTGGTTCGAACCCGACCTCTGACTCTCGACTTCCCCTGTCTAGGCTTGGGCAACCTGGCAGTATCCCACCCCTCGTGCTTCCTTCGGATGGCACGGTAGCTAGGTACCGAAAGGGTTTTACGGCTGAACGAACAGGTTGGTCGGACTACGTCATACGCTCGAATTTTATATTTAACTTTCAGCGAGCGTGGATCTATGGTATTGCTTTTGTGGCTTGTACCGTCACGAGGAATCTGATATAGATAACACTCATGTATACGGTGGGAGAAAGGCAACAAGTTAATTGAGGTTGTATAGACGTAATACACTACTCATGAGGTTGCTGAAAACTTTTCGAGAGCCCTTCTTAGGGATCATCAGGTACTCCCCGTTCGTCCAGTCGTAACACCCCTCGGTGCCCTGCCTCCCGAAGGAACAAGGAAGGCAGGGATACTGCCAGGTTGCCCAAGCCCAGACAAGGGAAGTCGGGAGTCAGAGTTTGGCTTCCAACCACGGGTCTTTCTGTGGGCAAACTCGCGCTCTAACCACTGAGCCATCTCGCCCCCCTAAGTAGACCCCGAATGCCCTTGTTCTAGTGGATAGCAAATTACACGAAATCCGACCAATACCCTCATCTGCGCGCAAATTTAGAAATTAGAAGACCGCGCCTATCTGATGAGCTCCAAGAAGGATGAAACCAGTCCAGGGCTGCCGAAGGCTTTTCAACGACCTTGTGAGTAGTCTCTTACGTCTGCGCACTGTACTTTGATATCTCGAATATCGTACCAACTGAAACATGAGGCGGCCTGGTGTAGCACACCATTCATTGAAGAATAGCATCATAAACGAGAGATTCAGTTGGGTTCCAATTGATTTTCCCGTCAAAATCCAAGTGGTATGCAGATTAGTGTGTCAATTGATTGAATTTATTCAAACTGCTTCCCCCTTGACAAACTTTACATGATCCTTGTGCACAATTCATGATTCTGTGAGTGGCAAATCCATACTTTTCTTAGTACGGTGAGCCTGTCACCAAAAAGGACAACTTTATCAGCTGTTTAGCACTGTTACCAGGCGTTGATTTTTGTGGTGACGTGGTGTATTTAATCCCCTCGTTTCTGCTGGTCAGCGTAACTGTTTAACTACGTTCTTTGGCTAGATGTAGGGTTTCAGTTGCGAACCTGCGTCGAAAAGAAGTTGCCAGAGTAAAACAACAACATGCCTATACTATTCTCTCCAATTTGATTAGCTCATTTGCACATTTTGTTGTGAGGTTTGCTAGAATTGTTCGAATTGTTTCTTCAGAGCCTGCCGATACGCTTCCTGATACTGACGTATTTGGAAGTAAGCTTTCCCCCTTGCGGTTGCTGCGAGCTGACGGCGATCCAGTAAGTTTTTCGTTAGCATTCTTTGCTCTATCTATATAGAATTAGGCGATAGTTCTGTGTTTGCTTTGTTCAACTTGTATTTAGTCTAGTATAATAAAATAATCCTTCAGTTGTTGCACCCTTTCGGTGCCTAACTGCCATGTCACCCCAAAGGAAGCACGAAGGCTGGTATACTGCCAGATTGCCCAAGCCTAGACTAGGGAAGTCGGGAGGCAAAGGTCGCGTTCGAAGCTCGAACCTTCCGGTCAGTAAATTCGCACTCTAATCACTCAGGCCATCTCGCCCCATTTAGTCGAGTAGCTCCCTCCCAAAGCGAGCACTTTTTAGGATTGACCACTACCCTATTTCATTTGGAGCTTCGGTCAACGGTTTCGGTTTCAAGTTTCGTTGTTTTTTGTTTCAACACGCGTGCACACTGTCGTCTTGATTGCTCTCCTCGTTGTTCTACTCATTGTAGCTGCATCCGTCTTTACTCACTCTTGTGGATAACGGCGTTCTAACGAACCTAAAAGGTTTGACTGTGCGGACTGGATCGTGTTTTAATAACGAACTGCATATTGCTGTGCTTCAGAAGCAAACATCTCCAACAGACTCGAGATAGCTCCGTCCGGAAGGTCCGTTGTTCGAACTCGGCGCCGGTTTCTCGGCTTCTCCCGTCTAGGCTTGGACAGTGCTTCCTCCAGGTGGCATGACAACTAGGCCTCTGAACGTTTCCAGTGAGAACAATGTCTGTGAGAGCAATGTCTGAAATGAAAACCTGAAATTCAAACTTAGATTCAAACAGTGCAGTGAAACGAACTGACCATCGATTTCTTCATTGAGCTCTATTGGGTTTCTGTGACCTCTGATTCATAGTTTTTAAGTAGTTTGTTGGCGTGTTGAAGATCAACTACGGTCGCGTGCATGCATATGGTGGCTTTCGTCTGTCTATTCTGCCTGTCTCTACGCATTTTTTTCTCTCCTGGTGTAGCTGGACTATTTGCCTCCTGTGTTTGTCGAACTGGATATCCTCACTTGTCCTACCGCGGGTGTACTTGGACCCGAAGCAGGCTCAACTCACCCCAATCCAGCCTCGGAGCAGAGTGCACCCTCACGACATCCTTCTCATTGGCTTGAGACGGCGCGCTGGGTGCGTTACGAAGAGGACCTGGATCCACTCGCGGGCAACTTTGGCCAAGCACATAGCCCACCTCTAACTTTTCATGCTGTCGTCGAATGCCGCCGTTATTTGGAACAAGGTGAGTCTTTTCGAACAGATTGCTTCGGTTCGCGAATCGGTCTGTCTCTTCCGATGGAGATAAACTAGTTCCAACTCCATCTTCACGATCCATTTCTTCCGTGTTTGGATATCAACTGCCAAAATCTGCAGTGCGAAAATGTTCATAATTGGGGATTCTTGGGCTAACAAGGTCCGCTAAATTCATCGATTCTGGTAAAATGCGTGAGGGTGTGGTTACGAACGCTGCACGCTCCTGCGACGATTCTCACTTCTAGACGTGCATTCGTTTCACTGCAAAAAAACGATATTCTGGCGTCTGTATTTCTTCCCCGATACGTTGCTTGTGTATTCGTTTCACTGCGTCTGTATTTCTTCCCCGATACGTTGCTTTAGGTGCCATCGTGCTTCAGTCCAACACGGTAGGTGACCAACCGCCGTCCCATGCTGCTGGATATTCGGGCTTTGTTGAGCTGGATGCGGCTATGCGTGTGCTGCGTCATGATTGTGGTGCAACTACCGAGGACGTGGCGTTGATTTGGAACGCACTTCGACTGCGTCACCACCACGTGTGTGATTTGCCACATCAACCTTTGGAGCTGTCCAGTAACTGGCTGTAAGTTTGGTGCTGTTGATCCCACTGCCCCCTCAACGTACTCGGCTTTTTCCAGATTTAAAACAGCTTTGACCTTCTTGCAGTAAGTTGAAGTTATTAACCGGAGAACATTCAACTACTGTCGTTCGCTCGATCACACAGCCCCCGGTGGGCCGTACTGCGCAAATACACCTCTTTATTTTGGCATTTATTCATCTTCCACTTTCAGGGCTTTGTGCCTAACCTAAGTGCATCGACTTCCTGTGAAGTTAAGAACAGTGTCTGGGTAATACGACCAAGAATAGTTCCAATGGGCGGCTCTATTACATGATGCCTCCCAGTCTTATAAGTTCATTTACCGAAGTCTGTCACTATCAATAAAACACACCATTAATCGGACAACCTTTCTGAAACTTGAGGCGAATAGCCCCGCAGTCGACTGATTCGTTGCAATACAAAGCCAGTGACGTTGCCTGCGCCTGAACCGGAAACATTGCAGTCGGTATCGGATAGTCTGCCGTCCCAATATCTCTTTGTTCATTTCTTCACGCCAGGACTTTTCACATTGCCTAGCTACTATGCCACCCGAAGGAAGCACGGGGGCTGGGATACTGCCAAGTTGCCCAAGCCTAGACAGGAGGAGTCGAGAGGCAGAGGTCGGGTTTGAACCTTCCAGTCAGTAAATTCGCGCTCGAACCACTGAGCCATCCGGCCAGCATACTAACGTCCAAACATTGTTTTTTTCTTTTCTGAGTGGCTTGCTGAACAGTCGTGCAACTCTGTGTCGGTCCTCGGCTTCCTGCGCCGCCCACTATGGTATATCATGGAGACAACTGAAGTTTATTTCGGCTGTACTCATAGGGTAATCACAGAATTTTCCACAAGGTCGTGCTAGAATCTCAGTGAGGGGGCGAGAAGCGAGAGTTAAAGACGCTCCATACGGATTGGCTGACATTCTGACCAATCAGGGCCTTCCTTCGTTTGGTCAGCACCTGACACATTCGTCCAATTGACATGCTGCTCGGTCATTAGGGTCGGCTTGCCTCCGAACAGAGATTCTGAGGTTTGGAATCTGTACTCCATTCTGTGAAGCAGTAAAGCAGCACTGTGCTTGGAACCACAAATTATTAGAAATCAGAATTTCGATTGGGTAGAAAAGCAGTGCGATCAATTTCTACGTCGCTTTGCATTCCATCCGGCCATTCACTTCACCTGATCCTTCTGGACTGGCTCGCCAGATTATGATGCGCTGAAAAAGTCCACATTTTGCTTGTGAAGATGGGCACCTTTCTGAACTAATTAGTCACACTTCAATTTCTCACTTTTCCTAGTCAGAACCGGATGCCTGTGCAGTCTTGGCTTTTCAGGTTCTCAGCTTGTAACGTTTTTTTTACGGTTTTCCTCACTGAATACAGTTTGTTACGGGCAGTTTCTGAGGCGCTAGTACACCTCGTGTGAAATTCGACTATACATAATTGTAGCTAATACCACTTTCGATCCCGTATGGGATGACCCCTGTCCATTTCATTGGCCAATCACTCTGTAGCAACTTTACCAGGTGGTCGTCTGTTTTTTTGTCACCTTCATCGCCTCCGCAATGCAGTCACCTCTTCTCATCAAAACTTCTTCATCCGAAACAGTGCTTCCCGGTCTCAAGGATTGCAGTTTTCCCGTGCGGTTACTTCTGTCGACCTCCAGAGGCCACAGAATGCTGGCGATGGCAAGCGGACTGCATCGGTCCCAACACTGGTAGGTCTATACCACACTACGCGCTTAGTATGGTTTGAGCAATCCGATCACCCTTTTTCTGGTACGCTAGGGAGAAATCCGAGGAGACTTTGTCCTATCACAGAGGCGGTTGCAGCAGTTAGTGCGACATACTTCATGGCAACAGTGACCTGGAAATGCTTTTTACTGAGTAAGTGGTGGTGTAAGGTTTTTGGTAGAGCTGTTGGCACACATATACTCGGTCGATATTGATCGATCAGCCTGATAGATTGGTTTTTGCTACTCCTTGAGTTGTACTGCTCTAGCCTTATGGGCACTCGGTCGAGTTTATTTCGCACAACCATGTTCAAAGTGGTGATGTTCACTCGGCCACTCGAAGTTACGAGCAAAAAACTGTCAGCTTTGGTAGCTGTCATCTCCGTGGGTGAGGATTCCTCGAAAGGAAAAAACCGTCCGCTGCCTAGCTGCCATGCTTCCTGAAGGAAGCACGAGGGCTGAGATACTGCCAGGTTGCCCAAGCCTAAACAGGGGAAGTCGAGAGACAGAGGTCGGGTTCGAACCGCGGACATTTCAGTCAGTAAATTCACACTCTAACCACTTGAACCATCTCGCCATCCGAGGCAGGGTACAGCAGTGACTAGAGGCAGACGTGTTTTCGTCACGCATCCAAACTCTAGCTTTCAACGCGTTGCTCCTTCAGCTGACCTGTACACCAGTGAGTAACGTCCATCGCTGACTTTCGATTCATAGTTTTAGCTGTTGCTTCCAACATCTAACTGTTCACTCCCCTCTGGCGAACAAATAATCTTGAGTTTCGGTCGACCGCATAAAATATTTGTCATAACAACTGATCCCCTACCTAAAAAGGAGCCCAGCATTAAGGATGACTAGATAGCTTTTGTACAACGGAGTTCGACCCTCAGAGAAGCCATTGAACAGAATACATGGCCCTTGATTTAATAGACATTCCTTAGTCTGTCCAAGTATTTGCGCTCATGTGCTCTTTCGTGAGCCTTGTCTTGGGTCCTGAGTCATCGCGTTGCATATTTGGCCAAGTGGTTCACGAACTTTGGTGATAACGTGGCTATTTGGAGCCGAAGTAAGGTGAGATACTTCTGTCCGTTGAGGTGTTCTCCGAAGCAGCGGGGCACCCATTTATTAGTTTTGCTACCCGAGACTGAATGTCTCAGTTTACGACAATAGGGAATGGAAGTAGCACACAATGAACTTCGGGGATATCTCTCAAAGCCACGAAGAAAACCACTGTTGTTTAAAAAATTCCATGCAGGTATCACTACGTGAGACAAACCGGGAGGAAACCGTCCACTAGAATACACGAAAAGCTTCCAAGTGGAAACCACTACCAAACTCCGTTGGTTTTTGTGCATCACGATCGAAAAACATATCAGGTCAATTGGAACTGCACATAGATAATAGCCCAAACAAGAACAAGAACAGAGGGGCTTCGCATTTTTCCGAAAATCGGTTGTTGATAATTTCAGAACGACCACACAAAACCGTACAACCCAGTACAGACTCATGATTGATATCCGGCAAATCAGGATCTCCCACGGCTTACCACAACGCATGAGGTATGTGAAACGGACCAATAAGAATACGCAAAATACTGGGTGGTACAACCAATCACATTGAACTATTTCGCACCACAGATGTCAAGAGGATCAATCAGTGCAAAATGGAAACCGACAAGCCCATCATCTAAAGGCAAGCCAAACCACATTGTAACAGAGATCCGGAGAGGACCAACGAGCAACCAGCGGGATCACCACTAGCCAATCATTCTAGCCACCAAATTGTTAGCTAACTTGCAAAAGTTCAAGCAAGAGTGGAGTAAACACCCGCCCAACAGCGTACTGACGAGGTATACTCGGCAAAATGTCTGCAAATCAATGGTCAACATGCCGGACAAGCCAACGAATTCCAATACTCAATCAGGTATTTGATAACCGTAGACCAAGATCTATGGCCCGTGTATGCTGGAACCAAGAAAAAATTGAAAAAAATCAGATTTCGTTGCGCTGCAAAGACTTCAGTTGAGCGATTTGTTCAACACCAGGGACGAGGCGTCAGTCATGTGTTATGCATACGGAGCCACTAGGAAAGTTGCAGTTTTTGTGCCTGATTGAAAGTGATGCAAACACGACAATGGTCACCCTTGGACCTGACACGGTGTCTACATCAGGATCTTCGTGGTCCCCCTCGAGACGCTGCAAGATATGGTTGCTGGTCGGTGTAGCCGTCAGTTTTTAGCCCGGTTACCTGAAATCGTGCCTCGAGGGGTAGGTATTTCGGATTGCTTGTGCTAGGCGGGCTCCATGTTCGCTCGCTTTCTGTTTTAGTCTGTTCATAATCAGGGTTTCAAATAAATAGTGGCTGTGCGATAGTAAGCTGTGATAGCACTGACGTTGTGTTGCATTTGAGCGTACCGATTATACACAGGCAAGAGAGGACCAGTTAGTACACTGGGATACGTTAAGTAGTCAAGGTCACAGTAGCAGGCTGCAATATGATTGGACGGTTTGAGTGGAGAGCACCAGCATGAAGACGGGGTGTATGCTGTGGACAGGCTTGATCATGAGAGTAAGTCCGACGAGGACAGCGAACACTAGTGCCTAAGCTCGTAAAATTGGACTACGCCATCACGGCGAGAGCAAAGACTGGACCGTCACGATGCCTCGTTTGATGCATTTGAACGGCTAGTCACTGACGGGGCGAAATAACAAATAGCAGAAGTCTAGGATTAGTCATGTCCCTTAGGAAGGGTTGACTCAACGGTTACTCTTTTTGACTTCACAGGCTATCTTTCTGTGCAATCTGAGGTTTCCTTTTGCCTATACCAACCGTGAATTTCTACCTTATCCGTTTCATATCGTCTAGCGTGGACTCAACGCAAGCACAGTCCAGCCTTCCCATCATTCATCTGCAGTGCCTATCGGACAACGCGCCTTGTCACTGATCCATCGTGCGCTGACGCCAAATGGAACAGAACGCCCCTCGTGTACCCCGCCGGTACAACCAAGAGATCGCTCAAGTCCTGATATCCAGCAGCAATCTTCAGAACTGGCTCCATCTGTTGTCAGAGCCCCCAAGTTAGGCGACTGTCACCTCAGAGTTCCTTCTAATAAACATGCCAGTGATTTAGAGGGTCGGCTGAGTCCATCGACCGAAGTTGTGTCTGTACAGGTCAGTCTCACTTCGTTCGCTTGTCTAATGTCATCTCGACTCTAGACGAACCGTACACTTTGACCAGCTTTGAATGTGACGCTTAATTTTGCAGGGTTAAAGATTTCCGTTTGAATGAGGTCCGCCTTGGGACCTTCAGCACCTTATTTACTACTTGTGTTGTTGCTGTGATTATGGAATTGTTCCCGATTACCCCTAATGCGCGTAAGGTCGAAATGCTTCCCTTTACTTCTCTTTTCATCAGTACTATGATATCAAATACGATTCTTATAGACTATCTATGGATTTTACGCCTTCAGATTGGGCCCCCAGACTTTTTTATCGCCAGCCAAGTGTCTATACTTTTCCCTTCGAATTGTGTGGTAAATCTTATTTCTCCATTGCACCGTATGTTACTATTTTAGTCGTTGACCTGGCTAAAATATTCCGAAAAGAATACTGTTGATCATTCTGTGCGTGATAATTTAAGTCACCATGTCTTCCACTGGCGACGCTGTCATTTCAAACGCTATTTGTATCCTAGACAGCGGCTACGCTACCAGTGTTGCGGCGGATACTACTGATGAGGCATGCGAGTAGTCTGCGGTTTTCTCGAAGCTCCGCTTCGCGTCTAACGGGAGGTGAGGTTTATTACGGAACTTGTGTAAGTGATGTCTCCTCGTATGGTGAAGAAACGTTTGAAAGTCAATTACCAAGCTCGACGAACAGATCAACAGCCGACAGCCGAAATCGAATTGGTGGACAGTGTAGTTGAACCATTTGGGTACAGGGGCATGAAGTGCCAGCCGCGGAAAATATACTCTGTGGGAGCGACGTTAAAAAAGCAAGGGGAGCCACATCCGAAATTTAGGACTGGTTCATAATCGGTGCTCAGATTCACTGGTTTTGATGAGTGGAAGGAACCTGTTGCTGCGTCAGCAAACTGTTTTCTGATCACACATAGACAATGTCTCCTTGACTGGGGACGAAACTTTTGTAACCCAATTGTCACGCTCGGCAAAGTGATCATCGGCCATGCGATCAACTACCAGTGAAAGGAAGAAGGCCGGTCCGACGAGGACAGCGAACGCTAGTGCCTAAGCTCATAAAATTGGACTATGCCATCACGGCGAGAACAAAGACTGGACTGTCACGATGCCTCGTTTGATGCACTTGAACGGCTAGTCACTGACGGGGCGAAATAACAAATAGCAGAAGTCTAGGATTAGTCATGTCCCTTAGGAAGGGTTGACTCAACGGTTACTCTTTTTGACTTCACAGGCTATCTTTCTGTGCAATCTGAGGTTTCCTTTTGCCTATACCAACCGTGAATTTCTACCTTATCCGTTTCATATCGTCTAGCGTGGACTCAACGCAAGCACAGTCCAGCCTTCCCATCATTCATCTGCAGTGCCTATCGGACAACGCGCCTTGTCACTGATCCATCGTGCGCTGACGCCAAATGGAACAGAACGCCCCTCGTGTACCCCGCCGGTACAACCAAGAGATCGCTCAAGTCCTGATATCCAGCAGCAATCTTCAGAACTGGCTCCATCTGTTGTCAGAGCCCCCAAGTTAGGCGACTGTCACCTCAGAGTTCCTTCTAATAAACATGCCAGTGATTTAGAGGGTCGACTGAGTCCGTCGACCGAAGTTGTGTCTGTACAGGTCAGTCTCACTTCGTTCGCTTGGCTAATGTCGTATTGCACTTTCTCTACTCAAGATGAACCGCACACTTTGAATGTGACGTTTAATTTTTCAGGGTTAAAGATTTCCGCTTATGACCACGATTTATTAGTTTCTCTCCCAGAAACACACTCCTCGATTTTCCCACCTTTTCATAGTAATCATAATGCTCAAACAATGTTTGTTTTTCTTCTGTTCTCCCAACAACAACAGGTTGGTGTACTTCCCGGACTAAGAACTCCTCTGTTGGTATTTCTTCGACTTCATCGTTCACTCTTTATTGCGGATTTCGCAGAACTGTCGGACTCGTACCCTATCCGTTTTGTTGTTCTATTTCTGGGCCCCGATCGACGTCATTTGGACTACGGCGAAGTGGGTCGTGTTCTCGCCACAATGATGGTAGATAAGGTCTGTGTCCTTGAGGTCGGTTTTTTCCGTTCATCCCTCCCCCGGACGCATATAGTGCAGCTGCTTCAGAGAGCCCTTTATGGAGACAAAGGAAGATTAGTACAACTGTATTTGTAGGGTAATCACTGAATGTCCCACAAGGTCATGGTAGAATTTCTGTGAGGGGCCAGAATCATCGAGTCAAAATGCTCGATCCGGATTGGCTGGCATTCTGACCAATCAGGGCATGCCTTCTTTTGATCTGTTTCGTGACACATCCGTCCAATCGATGTGCGGTTCGGTCATTAGGGTGGCTGGCCTCCGGACACTAAGAAGAACGATCCGTCGTGCTCAACAACCTTACGAGCATTGTTTCGTCAAGCAAGATCCACCATCTACTTCTGTCCTTGTATCGTACTTTTATATCTGTGACCCTTAATATCGGGCCATCTCGCAGCTGTTGGACGAGTCGGTTCTGATCGGTTTGTTTGATTTCTGGCTTCTCAGTGGCTAGGCGAGTTGCGCGCGTTTTACGTGAACCTGAGAGGCAGCAGCGTTCTTTGGAGATCCAGAGCTATATCCCGTCAGGGCTCAAGTAGAAACCATGTAAGGGGATCGATGGACCTCACGTTCTCGAGATTTTTTCACAAGCGTTGCCGGACAAACCCCGCTGAGTCGGCTATCATCTGGTATTCAATCAAATTTAAGCTCTTTTGCTCGATTGCTCAATACGATAACCCCTCTCACGGCACTGCCAAAGCAGCGACATATGCATCACCAGAGGTGCGCAGCTGGGAAGCTGGAAGGGAGCAAGGGGAAAGTCATTTCAATTACAGTACTTGTGTGCCTTTGTTAACAGACAGCACACATCAATGCCGAGAGAATCCACGTTCGAGCAAGAGCCGCTTGTTATCCTTCTTACTTCAGTATGCGATTTTCTGTGTGAGTAGAATGCCACTTTGAGCACTAATTGACCTCTGGGATTCTGAGGAAACTTCGGCCAGTTGGTCTAAAGTGCATCTGTCTTTCGTCTATAATCCTTTCAAAATGATAACTAATCGCACTGCTGGTCAGCCGCTCGCGTCCAGCAACTGACCTGAAGTCCGCGGGTTCGTAATTCTCTGATTTTCATAAGATGCGCACTGCTGTAGATTCCCAATATGCAGCTATCTATCTGACCTCTCCAAATCCTTGGCAAGTAAAACGGTAGCAGGTATAACCACTGTTTGGCAAGTACCTGGTTTTTACAACTGATGACGATGAGCGCTGCAGTACCCTTCTATCACGTTCTCCAAACTCCCGCCCCGTTGCTGCATCATAGTCTATTGGTGGTGCACAAGTGTTCCGCGCTTTAGAAGGACCTATTGTCCTGTGGAAGTATCGCGCTCCAGAACTGAATACCGCCGTTCGACCAGTGGCTGGCTTACATGCGCGCCCGGATCTCTGAGAGGGTTCTTATCACTGTGATTTACCGGCAGCAACGGATTGAAAAGGTTAGACGTCATCTACATCAGTTGGCTGGCTTCACGCAGAGGTCATCTAGATGCAACTCCTCGGCGGTGATAAACAGATTAAGTGTAATGTCTTCATATTGGTGTGGTATTTTTGGATGGCATAAAAAGCGCGTAGCTGGATCAGCACGGTGATCAAACTGCTGATCATTGAGCGTGATTTTCATCACGTGACCCCACGGTTGTTCAGAGCAGTTTTACTCTCGTCCAGACCAATTTTCGCTGCGACATATTTCAATCTTGGCTATAAAATTCTCTCTTTTTTCTACTTGAGAAAACAGCCTTGTTTCCCTGAGTGGGCTTTCTCTGATCTACTTGGATCAAAGTACCTTTGGTATGTGGTTAGTTGCTTCTGGACCAAACGGGACTAAACGCGCGAACTTCAAGTTACGGAATACCGAATCTATCCTTACCCTAGACGGAGCAGTTCTTTTGTTAGAACCTTTATAGTTGAATCCTTCAGATTTTAGACTGACATTTGTTAGAACTTTATAGTTGAATCCTTCAGGTTTTAGACTGACAGAGATTTAGCTGACGTTTTCCTCAGCAACTTCCTTGGCTGTTTGGGTAATGTCTTTTAAGATGTAATGCAGTCCTCTAAATGTGTTAGAACCCTTGCACTTTAGTGGCCGAGTGCTCGTCGCAGATGACTGGCTGCCTCATGATTAATCAAGTAGGGTTCAAACTCATCAGTTTGTCCTAGTGTTTGCTCTATCTTACGTTTCCTCGTTCGGAGATGCCGGCGAACCTTTGCGTTCGTCATACCAATTGTATTTTCTATCACAGGCATTTAGGAGCGTGGCCTATACTGCCAGTTCCCGTGACGACCTACTTGATGGCTTGCGCGTTTTCTTGGACACCACGATCGTAGTGCCCTTGCTCAGCGATATCACACCCCGGAGTTTGCTAGCCATGCATGATCAGATTCGTCTGTTTCGACACAGTCGACAATCGGGCGATACGCACAAAGCACGACTCACCCGAGCAACCAAACGGTCACGTTCAAGGTCCCGTAAAGCTCGCGCTGGTTCCCATCACAAACGCTCCGATCTCGATTCAACCCATCTGCTAGGTGAGCGAGAACGCAAAGTACCAGAACACCACACCTCGGTGGGAGCAAACACCACTGGCGTATCACCTGGTGAGTCTATCCCCGTGCTATTTTCAGTCCTGAAGCTCGTTGGCCGGGCACCGTCAGTGAACCGTTACATCGGTGCGTAACGCCAATGTCTATATCAAGTTGACTGTGGATTGCCCGTTGAGTTTCCCTTGGGCAACCAAACACGTTCAAGGTCCCGTAAAGCTCGCGCTGGTTCCCATCACAAACGCTCCGATCTCGATTCAACCCATCTGCTAGGTGAGCGAGAACGCAAAGTACCGGAACACCACACCTCGGTGGGAGCGAACACCACTAGCGTATCACCTGGTGAGTCTATCCCCGTGCTATTTTCAGTCCTGAAGCTCGTTGGCCGGGCACCGTCAGTGAACCGTTACATCGGTGCGTAACGCCAATGTCTATATCAAGTTGACTGTGGATTGCCCGTTGAGTTTCCCTTGGACATGAACTAGTCCATACATTACGTTGCATCATTCTTACTGATATTCTACATCCTCTTATCATGATGGTAATTTACAAAGGCATTCGTGATATGAATGAGCAGTAGTCTCTTATTCTCAGTATTCTCAGAACGCGACAGCTTCGGGGTAACAACGTGAAATTTCATCCTCTGAGTGAAGCCACGCTCTGTGCTGAAAAGCCGAGAAGCACCATGCAACTTGAAAAATACTTGTAACCGATTGGGTAGTCATCGTTTTCGAAAACAAATTGGTGACAATCGGTAGATTTATTGCTGGGCAACGTTCCGCTTTTGACACAAAAGCATAGAACTATAGATTCCACTTCGGGCACATTACCATTTCTGGACTGCATAACACACAAGAGTGCTGTAAAATTAAAAACTACTATCAGAAACCAACAGTCACAGGAGCCGTCCTAAGCTATTCATCAGCACACCCACAAGTCCGTGTACGCCAGTATCGTCTCGTCGACGTTCTGCCGAGTCAGAGCGCCGTGCACAGAAGAGATCGACCGACAGGCAGCTCAAATCGAGATTGTCAACAGGCTTCAAGAAATAGAATTTTCAGTGAGTTTGATTGAGCATCAACTAAGAAAGATATTGGCTCCATTATCTCAACCCAGTAAGGAATGGATTGGCACAGCAGTCATTCCATATAAAGCAGGAGCATTCGGAGATTATCGAAGACTGTTGAACCTAGCCAACATTAGAGTACCTTTCCAGAAGGGAAAAACGCTGCGCTCAATTTTGGTGCAATTGAAAGATCCCCTTCCGGTTGAAAGGACAAGGGACTGTGTATATAAAATTAACTCCAACGATTGAACCAAGGACAAACTGTCAGAGAATTGCACACCAGAGTTGGTGAGTATAATAGAAGGGTAAACAAACCACCAAGGAATGCAGAAGAATACCAAACGCCGGCCGAAAACTCAGCGATGGCAGTACATGCCTTAGACATAAGGCATAGAATAGATTTTGAGAAAGTGGAAGTTTTAAGACAGGGACTGCGATTCACACCACAGAGGTTGATAGCCGAGGCGGTGGAAATTACCAAGCATTACAGCGTGAACAGAATAGAGGGTGGGAACTGACGGTTGAATGGAAAGTGGTCTTAGATAAGCCGAATCGACGAGTGACTGTGTGAGGTTGTCAATTCTCGTAGAATCACTAGCAAAAACAGGGAGGTGGGGGTGGAAATCCCAACTCGACCAAAGTCCACGGAATCCCTCTTCCTTACACAACTACCGTAGCACTAGCTCAGATGGACAGAAAGTTCAAATGGTGTTCAAGAGGGATCATCAGGTGGACCGAATCAGAAGAACCAAACCCTAGGCTGGACCCAAACACATGTAGGTTTCCCCATCGGCCCAATCTAACACATAAAAATTCCTTGGCCGACATCCAACAAAGATTTAGCTTGACTTAGGTGATTTGTTCTCCTTCCGCCACAACCCTCGACCAACCTAGTCACTTGGCCTGACTAGGCTTTTGTGTCAAAAGCGAAACGTTGCCCAGCAATAAATCTACCGATTGTCATCAAACTTTTTCGAAAACACCATGCAACTTGTTCACCCTCATTTGGAATTACCAGCATCTCATGCAACTTCGGGCGTCCTGATCTCCCTTCCGGTCTCGAGCGATTCAACCGGGGTGAGATGGCCCAAGTGGTTAGATCGCGAATTTACTGACCGGAAGGTCCATGGTTTGGACCCGACCTCCGCCTCTCGACTTCCCCCGTCTAGGTTTGGACAACTTGACAGGATCTCAGCCCTCGTGCAACCTTCGGGTGCATGGCAGTTAGGCACCGAAATGGTGCTACAGCTGAAAGAAGAGAGATTCAACCGCCCGTGGCCGAACGGTTAGCCACGAGGTCGTGAGATGCGCATTGCTGTTGAATCCCAACAGGGATGAAACAGGTGTACGTAGCTTCTCGGGATTCCCACATGGATTGGCTTCACTTACCGAATGAAATCTCCTCTGAAAATTCCCAAATCTCGACGCAATACCAACGTGATTTTGGGGCAGAATGTGGTTCCTGTCCGAGTTGACGTTTCCCCTGCTAAGGATGCTTTACGTAATGGGTTTTTCACCCGTTTCCTTACTCTGTGCTCGTTTGTGCTGTAGTCCTTTCCCCCCGTTTACTCTACGTAGTTTTGTGTGATTAGTACAACCACTTGCATCAGCGTTTCAGTTTGATGGTCATCCACTTCGGAACCCCATCAGTGGTTGATCGGCCACACACTGTTATGGCGCACTAACGTTTCGGGGAGGCTAAATGTAGGAATCAGGTGAAAGGAACGAATGAGGTATGATGTGTATTTGGCAAGAACGTCCTTTTCTGATCCGTTCGCTGTCCATTTTGAATATCGTGACGCAGTAACATCTCTGTTCCTGTCTCCATACAGCGAGATGAAAAAAGACGACACTTGTAAAACAGACCTACGTGAACTGTGCAAAATCGACCTGATGACCAGTGCCGTGCTTATCACAAGGTCTGAGTAAGCAAGTTTGTGCACATAGTGCCCGGTGTTTTGCGTCTTAATTAACGTGTCTTGGGCAACTGCTAGTAAATTTCGCCTCAGGTTTACTGAGGCGCGAGGGCTGGGGTACTGCCGGCTCGCTGAAGCCTAGACAGGAGCAGTCGAGACGCTGAGGTCAGGACCTTCTGACCCTTGAGCGGACGCCTTCAACCACTGAGCTATCTCGAACCCAGTTTACAACAGAGCTTTCGTGCCAAAGAACCCTTGTAGAGTTGTTTCATCCTCGCTGGTGAGGAGGATGGCTCAAGTGGTTAGAGCGCGAATTTACTGACCGGAAGGTTTGTCGTTCGAACCCGACCTTTGACTCTCGACTACCCCTGTCTAGGCTTTGGCAACCTGGCAGTATCCCGGCCCCCGTGCTTCATTTGGATGGCATAGCAGTTAGGCACCGAAAGCGTGTTACACCTGAACGATTATTGTCTTCCAAAAGTGCTTATCCCAGAAGGACTTCTTTTAATTTATCGTTCAGTCTGCTTTCTGTATGCTGCTGTTTTTTGGATATGGTTTTTCAAGATCCCGCCACAGTCCTCCTTACTAGAGTCACTCTTTAGTCAAAACTTGCTAATGGTGCCGTGGATATGGACGCTCTCGTTCCAGAGCTGAGCCACTTGGAACGGATCACTAAATGAACGCCTTGAATTCTTTGCGCTCACTTCTAGTGTTGTTTCTCGCATTTGTACTTTTAGGCCGATCGTTTCACCCTCTTGAGGCAGCTGCCGCGGTTCGACGTAAACAGTTGTCGCCAGATCACTTGAAAAACGTTCCGCGAGCCACAAGTGAGACTCGTGTGGATTGCAGTCTTCATCCACCCGGAGAACTTGTTGATAGATGCTGTCCCACAGCGTCCCTCCTGGCGTGTTCCGAACGCTCGGATTGTGTTCATCGGTGAGTGTGTCTGTGGAGGTCATCCCTCAGACTGTGGTGCTCATCACTGCTAATTGACTAATTGGGTACTTAAAATGAATGATCTACAGGTGATCAGCACATATCCTATGCTTATGAATCGGGCCCCGATCATCTTCGGGCGTCGATGACTTTAGTAGCAAAACATACGCCGTCTTCACCTCGGGTTACAGTGCTTGGACTGCCGCAATGCGAGACCGGAATCAGCGGTCATGAGGCAAGTAAAATAGGTTGGGTGGAGCGGAACTGGTTGACGAATTCGTCAAGCTATGTAACTGTTTCCACTGAACAGGCGGGCGCGTGACCTTCTGGAAACATCTTCAAGTATGAGATGTATGATGACCTCTTTTGGAGCTTCGAAGCTTGCGTACATCTGCGAATAGGACTCCTGATTATCACACCACTTTCCACTTATAAAGTAGAAGAGGAGTGCAACATAGTTGCGTTCACATCTCGCTTGTTCGAACATTCCTCCTGGCGTGCACCGTTTGGCCTGTGCTCACGAAACAGAAAAATCGCTGGGCTCGAATCTTGCTCTAATTAGAGCTCATCAGCAGTGTATGTCGCGATATGAACTCCAGACATCAGTCAGACGTGTTACCGCTACTCTATAGGGCTCCTTCTGGACGATTCTATCAGTTCCGTCTGAGAAGAGGCTTCGGTCTATAGCCTGCCATATTTCCAAGTTTCAAACATCGCCATAATTTTTGTGCGCTAAAAATTCACATGAAGTCTCTTGACTTAGCTTCTACTGGTTTCCTCTGCCAGGCCTTTACTCTCATGTATCCAGTTAGGTTTACGTAGGCCAGATTTACCTTATAATTCAAAACACTTGGTTCTGTATGCTCGTAATGCGCTACTCCTAAGGTTGCTGAAAATCCTTCGACAGCCCACGACCGGTTTCACCATTCGTCGGGCTCAGTGCCCGAGTTTCCGTCAGCCCTATGTTCTACTTGGCACCAAATTGCACGAAATTGGCGAACTACACTCATTTGCAAACTAATTTGGTTTTGCGCGAAACTCACCTGGAACCCAGCTGAATCTCTCGTTTATGATGTTTCTAAGCAATTTCTAAGCAATGCACCAGGCCGCCTCGGTTGGTATGGTATTCGAGATATTGCAATGCATCATCAAGAAGGGTGAAAACGGTCGTGGGCTGTCGAAGAATTCTTAGCAATTTTATGAGTAGTACATACATGTATCGCGCTATCTCGAATATCGTGGCGGCCTGGTGCAGCACATTCAGTTGTCTGAGGACATCACAGACGAGAGATTCAGCTGAGCTCCAGATGAGTTTCTCGCAAAACCAAGTTTGTTTGCAAATGAGTGCATTTCACTAGAATCTGTCGTAGGCCTCTAAGGAGGGAGGCGATAACAAGAACCTTATCATTTGTTAACAGCGCCCCCGTAGTTGTATTCTGGTTTCTTCAATGGTTATGTTTTCCCTATGCAAAATTGGACAACGTTTAATGCCTGTTAAGTGCTTGACTTTTGATTATTGAAGCAAAAGATGAGTTTGGACTCTGTGAGCAAATTGAAAAGGTGTTTATGCATTCTTCTGTCCGCTTTTGATTCAACTTTACAGTCGAAAGATTCCGCGCCCCTCCTATGAATCCTTATCATCTTCTTGCGGTTCAGACGATGACCGTCCCATCGTGCCGTCCCATTGCACATGCACCTGCGGCACTTGGACGCAGGGTTTCTTAACTTCACACTGTAATTTTCGGTTCGGCTCAGCGCTGTGTACCGACTTTGTGGCCTATCGACATCGCTTCTACTCCGACCTGGTCGAACCATTCGGATCAGGTGATTGTGCCGCAGTGGGCTCCTTGTTTTCCACTGTCATCTTCTTGTATTTCGTGGTTTTGGCGCCTGCTTTAACATTCGGAGCACTGCTGAGTAAGTTTTCCCAATTTTTTTTTTCCCGCTGGCATTCGCATCTTCATTTCTCGCTGCCAGCTCGGTTTGTTGATGAGGAATACCAGGGATGGGTTGAATATGACACAGTCTCTTTATCGAAGGGTGTGAAAGATGTCCCATAGTCCGTGCCTCATGAACATGTTTGCTTGTCGGGACAGTTTGATGAGCTTAAGGTCTATTTTTTTTTACGGAAAGCACACGTCTCACTCGTTATCTCTTGATCTTCATATCACCGATTTGTTGAACATATTGGCTGAGCGAGGACATGCCATTCTACGCTCGGTTTCCTTGATAAGGGCGCGCTTCGTTTTCAGAGCTCCAACTGGAGTCAAGTGGCACTTTTATTTGACCGATGAAAGGCGCATTCTTCGCTCGGCCCCCGTAACGCATGTGCTTGTACGAGGGCGTTAAGCCATCCTGGTACCGGTTAACTACATGTGTGTTTGATTGTGTGTACGCTTTTGGAAATTGCCCCGGTTGATCGAAAGGGCGTTCTTTGCACAGTTCAACAAATGTCGTTGGTTTGTTCCCTGAGCTGCGCGATTTGATTGCAAACGTTCCATCACCAATCGAGCTGACATCATCATTGCGTTACTGGGGATCGTAGCGATAGGTTGCTGGTTGTGCGTTGAGTGTCGTTGCGGATGTGCTGCTAGCTGAGGCTGACCTTCGATCACGATTGGTTGTTCGGTCGGGCGGTTCCATCGGTTGGTCTGTTATTCTGTCTTGATTGGTAGATATTGCAATTCATATTGGGTCAGAAAAACACGTAAGTACGGACACGGGTGTATTGTGTACACGCGGCCAACTCGGACCGCTTTCGTGGGGGATCAGCAAACACCTGAGTCACTATCCAGTCAACCCACAACGCTCACGCGAGCCAATCAATCGACCACGCACCATATAGATGGTGGAACGACGGACGGACATTCGCACGCGCAACCTCACACACCGAAGTAGCTACTACAGCAGATAACCACGTGACCTTTGAGCATGACCTTCCCAGCTCTCGTACTCTGTTCGGTGCTGGCGTGACCTCTGTCCTAGTTTGTGACCTTTGTCGATCTGGTTTGTTAATCCGATATTCGGCTCTCGTTGAGTATGCAGGTCGAGATATTAGTCGTTTCCACGTCGCGGTGCGTAAATTGGATCGGATCCATTTCGATTTGTCGGTCGATCGTGATCTGGTTTGTTAATCCGATATTCGCCTCTCGTTGAGTATCCAGGTCGAGATATTAGTCGTTCGCACATCGCGGTGCGTAAATTGGGTCGGATCCATTTCGATGTGTCGGTCGATCGAATCCTTCGTGGAGTAGCATGCTTCCCTTCCGTCTCTCTTGTCTCCGTATGCAAAGATTTATGCGTTCTCTCTCTTGGATTTTAGACATTCTTGATATTCATATCAAGGATAGGGATTGGGAATGGAGCTATGCATTGAAGGCAATAGCTTAGATGCATGGGCGCCATTGAGGGCGTGACTGAGCTATGTCTGATTATGTCTCTAACCATTGATGTGGATTTATACTTCGCTGCCAAGTCATTGTTTAACCGCCTCTGGCTCTCTCCAACCCTTCACGTGGTTGTGTGAAAAGAGCCCTTCGAGGAAGTCGGTCGACTGGCATACGCGACACGTAGCCAAGCCAGCGCAACCTGTGCAGTGTGATCAGTTCATCTATCGTGGGTGAGTTATTTCTTCCAGATACCATTAGACGAACTTCAGCATTTGTGATCCGGTGTTCCAACCAGACTCGGACAATGCTCCGAAGACATCGATGGTTAAACACTGAAAGTCTTTTGACGTCCTCGGCGCGCAGCGGCCATGTTTCTGATCCATATAGTAATATGGAGCGCACCGCAGCATTGTACACTCGACCCTTGACAGAGAAGCTGATGTCACGCCTACGCCACAGGTGACGTAGGTTCGCAAAAGCTGCTCTGGCCTCCCCAAATCGGGATGGAAATATCATCTTTCGCGAGACCACCGGGACTGATACAGCTGCCCAGGTGAACAAATTTCTCTACTATCCCAATCGGTTCATCCGCAAGCATGAGGTTAGGGTTCGAGCCCACCCATTCTTGCAGTAGCACTTTACACTTTGCATACACTCCATACATATTGATTGACAGCATATTATCATTTGTTTTTTCTTGTAGGCTGCAGCAGTCTAGGAACCACGAGGAAAGTATCAGCTGTTCCCTTGGGTTGTTACATGTATCCCCGACCTTTGTTCGTTTTGTCTCCCCTCTTCCTCACCGTCTACTAACATTCGCGTTGTTTTTCTACTCCTTTCGCTTCGTACCAGATTCCACCGTCTCCGAGGATTTCTCCATCCCACTTTGTATCTTTGCCTCTGGAATTTCCCAATGTCTGTTCACCGTGCTGGGTGGCCAGCCACTACTGATTGTGGGTATTACCGGACCGATGCTCATCTTAGAGACGTGTATCAAGCTGGTAAGTTTTGACACCGATGATTATTGTGTCCTGAGGGGAACACTTTCCCCAATTTTTCGGTTCTATCATATGGACGAGATCAAATTTGACTCATGACGAGAGCAGCTGAGGAGTTTATATCCTTGCTCATATTGCCAAGATGTTACGAAAGTTTGTTGACACAGCTGCCCTCCTAAGAGGACCACACATAGCACTATCTTCGGAAATGGAGAGTGCCTGAGATCGTGAACAGACCGTGATGGCTCAGTGTTGAGAGCACGGATTTACCGACCGGCAGGTTCGAACCCGACCTCTGCCTCTCGCCTTCCCCTGTCTATGCAGCCTGGCAGTATCCCGGCCCTCGTGCTTCTTTTGGGTGGCGTGGTAGCTGGGCACTGGAAGGATGTTACAGCTGAATGATCTTTTGAGTAGATATGTGATTTCACGAGAATGGTGTGTTTTTCTCAACTTTGGGACTTCAGCATTTCGTCATTCTTACTCTCCTCTCCTTACTTTAGTCTTACGTTACTCGCTCTGGATAGAGAGAGATAAGGAGGTCAGCCCATAGTTTTCAACAGCTGTTATCATTCGACTGGATTCTCTTAGCCGAATTCCTCCTTAGCGTTTTAGCAGAGGACTAGGTTGAGCAATGAAGAGTCATTTCAAACTCAATTTTTGTGTATGAACAGATCTTTGACGCCGACTTAATCGGTAGGCCCATGACACCAAGTGTATGTGATCCTCAGCTTCACAATGCGCCTTAGGACCAGTCTGTGGTTGTCCTAGTACCAAGAGAAAGGTTCGTTTACAGCTTCGTTCAGATGTTGGGTTCATGCTACTCACATAACCTTGTTTCGTGTTCTTGGTACAGCTCGAACTACCCTATTTTGACTCTAGTCATAGAACTGACCTGCTGGTTTCTTGTAACAGAACAAACCACCACGAATAGGAGAGAAATTTGAACTCTCCTTGGAACAGTGGCCTTCACAAAGAGGTCTCTGGAGATTTTGGTGCACTATGGTTTCTAATCGAAATGAAGCATTCCACTTGATTTTCAGAGAGGTGTGCTCTTTGGAGATGAGCTCTTGGTGGGATGTGCTTTCCTGATAAGGGGTTAATGACTTTCCAACCGGATCACCTGCTCAACAGTCGATTTGATCGTCCACATGTTGATGATACTCAGAGTGATGAATAGCGTGCGACTGTCCTCATCCACTATCTCATGTTTGGCCAACCAGGAGAATGATTTTGAAGCGGTATATTATCGATCTCTCTTGTTTTTTGAGCTTTTCGAAAGCCCTAATCCCCGCGGACGAATGATGGTGATCTCGAAGGAAATTCTCGGTAGGTGTTGTGACCTGGTGAACGATCGTGCAACCCGGTATCGGTCCCTTGGCTTCTTGCTCCGCCCACTATGGCATATCAAAAGGCACGGTAGATCTAGACAGCCCTTTGTGGGACAATTATTACAACTGTATTTATACGGTAATCACAGGGTGTTCCACAAGGTCGTGCTAGAATCTTAGTAAGGGGGCGAGAAGCATCGAGTCAAATATTCTCGATCCGGATTGGCTGGCATTTTGACCAATCTGGGCATACCTTTATTTGGTTCGTGTCCTGCACGTGACTCATCCGTCCAAATGATGTGATGTTCGGTTATCAGGGACGGCTGGCCTCCGTACAGTAGAGGAGATGAAGTGCAAGCTCCTGGTTCGAGTTGAAAAGAGGCCTAGCGACCCAGCATACTACATGGTGGAAGAATACAACAATTGAACTTGATTTGCACTGTTTTTATCCTATACAATTCATAATTTTGGGCTGTCCATGAACAAGTAATAAGACATGATTTGTTGCTGTGACAGCTATGCCAGTTCAAGCCTGTTTATCTTATCCCACTTTCCAGGTGTGCGATGTCCATCAGGTTCCATTTCTTCTGATGCGGTTGCTAATCGCCTGCTACACGACAGTGTTAGGCCTCCTAGCGGTTCTCGCCAATGCCGGCTGGTTGGTTCTCCGAGTCCGTCGTTCGCTTGAGGAAGTGTTCAACTTTTTCGTTTCGTTCTACTTCGTTTTCAAAGCGATGAAAAACCTGTTTGGAGTAAGCATACCTCAGCTTTGTTTACTAGTTGCTAATCTGAACACGAAAGCGATGCCACACGAGATTGAGTGAGTGTAAAGTGTTGTAGACGGATAATAGGGAGTTCACTCACAGATTGAACCAACAGCTTGGGTGTTGACAGCGTTACCGTTATCGACAGCTACACTGTGCAACATTTTACGAAGAGTCAATCGATCATATGACCCGTATGTGAGATGTGCGTGTTCACTTAGCTGATAATCGGTTCCACAAAGTCAATCAATTCGTTTCTGCCAGATTGCGTAACTGTTCACTTTCATATCCTTACTAAAAGCGTGATCCACATCATGAAGGCTTTGTTTTTTCATATTCGGAAACGCTCTTCTCTCCTGCCTTGGAATTTCTGACGTTCCAGACTGAGGTGCCCTGTGAGTTTTGAGGTTCGAAATACACCAATGGATCTTTGAATTTACTGATAAAATGATAAAATTCGTAATTCACCACTCATAAGGTGGCTGAAAATTCATCGTCATCCTTGAAATTATGTTTTAAAAGACTTGAAACTTAGAGTTTTACAGTGTCGCGTGATGGATAATCGCTTTTCTGTTCCAACAATCGAGCGGGGAACCAGAAATTTGGTTCTTTGACAGCTATTTCCCAAAGTTGTGACTGACCGGAATAGCTTCGTTCTGGAGTGGGGAAGGGTGGTCTTAGTAGAATTCACACGTCGGGCAATCCACACATTTGGAAAGTTCGAATCTTCCCGGCCCTGCATATGTCCTAGTTGTGATCGGGTCACAAAATTTTACATACTGGATGAAATCGACGCTTGCAGTAATCTAAAGTCGGATTGTTCCATTTCAGAAAACCTCATCTGTATTTTGTGAACGTGAAGAATATCCAGTCAACTACACTTATCTGAACACTAATTTTATTTTAAGGGGTTGGCTTCAGTTGGACCTCTTGCTTGTCGTGTTCTTCCTTCAGCTTGACTTGCTTCAAAAAGGCCCCCTCATGTTCGGTGCGGAATTTTCTTGACAGAACACACTACTCACAAGACCACCGGACACTCGAATATTGTACCCACTGAAAACTCAGGCGGACCTTTTTCATCACGTTCAGTTGAGGAGTGTCCTAAACGAAAGATTCAGCTGGGATTCATTTGAGTGTCCTGTCAAGACCAAATTTGTGGCGAATTTCGTACAATTTGGCTTCAAGTAGAACACAAGATTGACAAAGACTCTAAGAATGCGCTCAGCTGGGGATCCCAAAGAAGGACTAATCCGTTAGTGGGCTTCCCAAGAGCTTTCAGTCATAGACGTAACACACTACTCGTAAGGTCGCTGAAAATTCTTCGACAGGCAACGACTGGTTTCGCCCTTCTTGGTACTCATCAAGTAGGAGCAGTCCCCGAGTTTCCGTCAATCTTATGATCTACTTGAACCCAAATTGGACTGTTTTCGAGAACTACACTCGTTTGTAAATCAATTTGGTTTTCACGGGAGACTCAATTGAATCTCTCGTTTCCTTTATGAAAATATACTGCGATATCTCGAATATCGTGCCAACTCAATCATGAGGCGGCCTGTCTGCAGCACATTCAGCTGGAGGACAGCATAAACGAGAGATTCAATTGAGTCTCCCGTGAAAACCAAATTGATTTGCAAATGAGTGTAGTTCTCGAAAACAGTCCAATTTGGGTTCAAGTAGATCATAAGGTTGGCACCCGTTGCCGTAACCGGTCGATCTCGTGAAATAGGGTCTCATATGGACCGATCCTTATTGCCTCATCCAGCTGAGAGATGTCCCATACAGCAACCCAGAATTGAACGCTCAGTTACACCGCGGTTGTGCGCGTTTATGAATGCCAACCCTCTTAGACACAGTTTAACGATTAGATCCCTCGGAATTGGATCAATAATACGAATAGGAATGAAGTAGGGATTAGGAAGTGCGTGACCAGATCTCGGACACCGGCCCCACGGAGGATGAAGTAATGAGCGCCATTTCTTGTCTCGTCTAGTTCCCCCAGCATCTGCTCATCATAGGGGTGAGGTGACTGCCTCTCCGAATTTACTCGAGCATTGGGTCCCAGAAGTTTGTTCGGTGACTGATGGCCCTGCAGTTTTATTCGCTGGTCCAGGTAGTGATTGTGGAAGATGGTATGCCGACTGATAGTTACATACGTGTGGAGGCTCCCTCCATCATATATATATATATATATCATATATTAACTAATGGCAGTACTCTTTTGAATGGAATGTGAAGTAACCGTGCAAGAATGTTCTTGTTCTTCACATCCGGAGAAGGACGGTACCTGTGAATGCCCGGCGTGTCGTTCCCTCATAGATTGGTACACCTGACTTTTGCCTTCACTGTGTGAGTTCGCGTAACTCTTTGCACGCGATAACAGTCACATTAGTACAGCAATTCAACAAGTATACTAACACAAGATGAAGGTAACAGATGCTTCGAAACGAAAATTGTTTGTCTGTTGATTCCTGGTGTCACCATAACGGCGTTATTCAACAGTTTTAGAAGCCAACGGATAGGTGAGATGGGTAGCGCGCAGAACCTGTTGCCATCTCAAACGCGATTGACCTTGCTCTCTCTCTGCTGGGCTCTGTAGGAATTGTTGAACACTGCTTCCCTGGCGACCGCATCTCACGAAAACTCTGCGATTGACCTCTCTCTCTCTGCTGGGCTCTGTAGGAATTGTTGAACACTGCTTCCCTGGCGACCGCATCTCACGAAAACTCTTTGGAACAGCTCAACACTAGTAATACCTCCCATCAGCGGACGGCTGCACTCACGACTACAGTAGAGGATCAGCTGGGACATCATTATGCCAAGGCGGTGACCACTCTACTTTTGGCTTTCCTAATGATGTTTATCTGCCTATGGCTTCAGTCCATCAAACGTGGTCGCTATTTCAGACGCACGGTAAGTACATACCTTCGTGCACTTTCTAAGTGTAGCTCGTTCAACGGAAATTTAATCTCTTTGTGTGATTCTAGCGTGGGTAGCAAAAGGAATTAATTGTATGGCCAGCCGAACAAATTAAAATCGCCCGCTTTTTTGATACGTGAGTGTCATACAACCCAAGAAATTCAACTTGAATAAGCACAGATATAAACCATCGAAAAATTGACTTTCCAGCTGAAACTTTCCGTTCTGGCCAACTTGAAAATGATCAAAAATGTTGATTAGAAGGGCATACAGAGTTCACAAACTTTTTGCACTTTGTTCGTGCTGCTTGTTTACTTTTGTTTTTCTGATCGAATGCTGCTTAGTTTCGTGATTCAGCGAACGCCTTGTTGTCCCCGGCAATTGTCCGAAAAACCACATGCATGATTTGTATTCTGAAAATGTAAAAGTACGGGTTTTGAGTATTGATCGATATACCTTAAGAGTTGAACAGAGGCCGAATATTTGGACGACTACCAGGAGGAAAGAGGGTGACAAAATTTGGAGGTCCGCTACTGTTGTGTTTTGCTGAACGACAGTGCAATTCTGTATCGGTCCATTGGCTTCCTGCTCCGCCCACTATTGTATGTTAAAAAGGGACAGTAGGTCTAGACAGCCCTTTATGGGGACAAAAAAATTAATACAACTGTATTTATAGGACAATCACAAGGTGTTCCACAAGGTCGTGCTAGGATCTCAGTGAGGGGGCGAGAAGCGTCGAGTCAAAGGTTCTTGACTCGGATTGGCTGGCACTCTGACCAATCAGGGCATGCCTTCGTTTGGCCCGTGTTTTGCACGTGACACATCCGTCCAAATGATGTGGTGTTCGATTATTAAGGACGGCTGGCCTCCGTACAGCTACACACCCAGGCGATTTTGGTGCATGCAATCACGAATTTGTTCATTGACAAAGGAGTTCTTGCCCAATCCATAGTGAAGTACCGTTGTAAGCGTATTGAAGAGGTTGGCACAGGCAGAAATTGTCATTTGCCGGCTGTGTTATTTTTTCTGCTTGTTGACCGCCAGAAAAACGCATGTTTCCTATTTTGAGTCCGAGAAGCTTCGTGGTTATCGGTTTCTCAACACGAAACGTTTTCTCGAAGCTCATTTTGAATAAAAAGTAGCCATGGAACCATTAGACACGATCCTACCAGCTTGCCAGTCACGTGCGACTGCGTTGATCCACAAGCTCACCTGGGTCATTCGTTGACCAAACGTCGTGTGGACCATGCGCACTGTGTAAGCCAGCTAAATAAATCGTGACCACCAATCGGCAAGCGACTGGCACCAACGTTCAAAAACAATGGGCAACATAGATAAGTGGATACGAAATCGAACGACTTCACCAGCTTTAGGGTCACGTGTTGGCGTTGTTAGCTGTTTCGTGTAGATATCTGCGGGTTGCCAGTCCTTTTGGGACCGTTTATGCACCTGTAGCTCCCTTGTTCGACTTCCCTTATCCTCAAACATAACCACGGCACAGTTATGGTGAATAGGTTGTAAAAGTGGTTTCATTTTGCACACACCAGTCATCGGCCGCTGATCCACTGTCATGTTCTGACTATTGACCTCATCGAAAGGGAAAATGTGTGAAATTCCACGACGTACAACAATAAGGCTCCTTGAATCGGAACGAAGGGAACGTTTTTTGACGTACCTACACAATTTGGTCACTAATACGCATAAATGTTTGCTTTTGTTGCATCCGACGAGAACAGTAGTCACATCCACTGATTCCCGATTCTGCGAAACGCGGCTAACGATGCGTCAGACGTTTCTTCATTGACACCTCCAGGATGGTCTACTGTCGTTATCGCTGTAGCGAACGTCCATTCCTTAGTCGCCTGAAAATGCAGCGATTTCTATAGTCGAGGGGGACTTTCGACCTTTTACACGTAACGCCAACACACTTGGGAATTTGGTCGTAATACACTACTTATGGGGTTGCTGAAAACTGTTCGACAGCCCACAACCGGTTCCATTCTCTTTGGGGCTCATCAGTTAGGTATGGCCTCCGAGTTTCCGTCAACCTTATTTTCTGCTTGAACTCAAATTGAACAGGTTGGGTTCCTGTTGAGTCTCCCGTCAAACCCGAATACGTATGCAAATGAGTGTATTTCGCTGTTCGACTGTCATTTCAACTGTGCCATCCTACATGCTACCTGCTTCTGTCCTCTCTCCAGGTACGCAACATATTCGGTTATCTGAATGTCCCAATCGGGCTCGCGATCACCGTCTGCGCCAATTCCCTACTGTTCCCCGGCATTCGTGCACCAACCATACAAATCCCTACAGGCAATAGATCTTTCCTATTTGTGGTGACCTCTTCTCCCATTTCGGCATCCTCGGAAGTCACACACGCAGCTCAAAAGTTTTTGGGATCTCCCAAATTCCATGGCCTCGCGTTTCTGTTGGCTGCTTGTCTTGTGCCCGCAATAGCCACGGATACCATGCTGTCCGGGTGAGTCGCTTTTCTGTGTGGAATCCTTCGAAATGTGGATGGTTCAAAACTTTGCGGATTGAAGTGTGTATTAATAATCATTCAGTTGTAACACCCTTTGGTGCTTAGCTGATATGCCATCCAAAGGAAACACGAGCGCTGGGATACTGCCAGGTTTCGCAAGCCTAGACAGGGCAAGTCGAGAGGTCGGGTTCGAACCACGGACCTTCCGGTTAGTTGATTCGCGCTCTAATCGGTGAGCCACCCCGACCCCTGGTCTAGTACGTTGTATACGTTGAGTTGCTTGTGTTTGTCCGGTTGCTTCATTGGGTGTAACCGGAACGACGTCTAAACGCAAGACCCATATGTGGAATGGAACATTTATTTCTAGACCTTTTGGGGTTTTGTGTCATCAAGAACGCTTCTCTATGGAAGATGACATGAGTTCCATTGGCTGATCTCCGAGCTTGGCAACTGGCTAGCAAACGTCTCGTCACCAAATCGAGAGTTTCCATTAGTGCGCGGTTGAATGGGCAGTTGGTTGTACCCGGGAGCTACCAGTGTAACGGTGGATACTACTGATGAAGCACGTGAGTAGCATGTGGTTTTCTCATAAGTTCGCTTCTCGTCTACTGAAAAGTGAGATTTGTTACGGAATTCGTGGAATCGCTTTGTAGCATTCGTTTACGTCAATGAGTATCCAGGCAAGTTCAGGAAGACCTGTTCGAGGAGAAGAAGGATACACAGTTTTCGTGAAACAAGATGCATATGAGAGTTTTACTTCCCTGTCCAATAGCCTGTAACTCCGCAGCGGAGGCCTTCTTCCTTTTCGCCAGTATTTCAACACATTGTCGGTGGGAATCTCGCTTGTGCTGATCAAAGTAAATCGTGGCGTTTGTGACTACCATTAGGAGGTTTGGGGAACTCACGATCAGTCACAATGGTGATCGCCCAGCCGCCACCACCTTTGGGAATGCACTATTTTGATCCCCATGTACACGTTAAACCGTTTTGTTAACGTCTTTTGGGTTTGGAATGTTAAGCCGGTAAGTTGGCTGTTTCCCACACATCCGGTCAGAGTTTTCAATACTCTACTAGTTCTCAGAACTTGATTCGGGTGCTGCCAGGCAGTGCTAAACTGGGTGACCAACTTTATTCTGGTTTCGAAGGCATAGATGCTCCATGTAATAGGCGATCGACTTCCTCTCTTCTTATTTTCCACCAGGATCCTAATCGTAATTGGAATAACGCCCATGCCAAATTAGTGACAGGTGAATGAATGTGAAGGAATAGATGCTCCATGTAATAGGTGATCGATTTCCTCTCTTCTTATTTTCCACTAGGATCCTAATCGTAATTGGAATAGCGCTCATGCCAAATTAGTGACAGGTGAATGAATGTTGCTCAGTTGAACTCAGCCTAGTAAACTACGTCAAGATCATATTTCCTCTGGTTTCCCTATGTAGCTGATACAGTTCACGTTTCCTTGATTTTGTCCCACCCTCACACACATTCAAACTACAGAATCACCGTGGCGAAATCAGAAAGGCGTCTGCGAAAACCATGTCTGTTCAGTCTAGACCTGACTGTCACGTTGTGTGTCTTGCCCCTCGTTTCGTCCCTTCTTGGCTGGCCATTCCTATCCCCAGCAGCTGTCCGATCTAACGCGCATGCGATCGCCTTGACCAAGTGGAACACGCGAACTCCACCTGGTGTACCGCATCGGTGAGTGAGGGCCCTTTCGCCCAGTTCTCAATCTTTCCTATGAAATAGTTCAGTGTGACAGGTGGGCAGGATTTGTCTGTGCAAGATTAACCAAGGTCATCATGACAGGCAGATCGCTCGTTTGAAAGACCTCTCTGGGCTCGCTTGATGTCGCCGGCCATAGCTACATGAATTCGTGTTGGTGCCACGTGACAGAGGTCCTTACGTTAGCATCCAGTTAACTCTGTGACTTTTACATGAAAAGCCTAACCCTACTCCCAGCAACTCTTTACTAGGGTTGAATTCTTTAAATTCATTCGCCTATATTGGCATTTCTTCTGCGAACTTTACATGTCAGCGTATTTTCGGAATGCGAGTGCATTCCTTAATTTGTTTCGCGTGATTTAAGAAGGGCGACAATCATGTGGCTTTTAGAGATGACTCTCCGTAAGAACTCAGAAGTTTGGCTCCTAAATTTGGGATTCGGTGCTTAGTTTTACGTCAGTGACCTTTCTGTGTGCTACAAACGAAAGAAGCTGCAAAGATCATCAAATGAGGGGGTGACTAATCTAGCTTTCTGCCATACAACGGGAGTAGTAGTACGTTCTTTGAGAGGAAAGGTGTCCCATCAAAAGCAGCTGTAACACTCTCACGGTGCTTAGCCTCCACGCCACCCGAAGGAAGCACGAGAGCTGTAATACTGCCAGATTTCTCGAGCGTAGACATCAAAGTATCATCAGAGTTGTAACTGTCATGGTTGTACGAGGGTGGGATACTGTCAGTGCGCCCCCATTTAGACAGGAGGACGATTAGGTCATCAACCAAAGCCTCTGGCTCAAAAGCCTAACCGCAAGGCAGCGGTATTTGGCGGGAAATGCAAATGCATTACCATTTCTACGGAACAAGTCGCCAACCCCTAACCTGGAGGACCAGGAGACTGTGTTCGTCAGACCAACCTGGTATGCGAGACTCTGTGAGTGTCTTGGGGACACCCCCCGTTATAGCTCAATGGGCCGCCGAGGTACACAAACCGCCACACTACGGTAAGGTGTAGTCTCTTCGTGACGGGAGCCTAGACAGGAGCAATCGAGTTGCTTGCATTGGGTTCGAACCACAGATGTTCATCAAATCTCACTTACCATCATTTTAGTTTGCAAACTAATATGTGGCAATTTGGGTTCGAATGAGTTGACCGAAACCAGTCATGTCATCGATGGGGAGCATGCCTATGATGTCGAATGCTGGACACCTATGGGTCTTCACGATTGGTACGATCCAGGCTACTATCAACAGCAGAAGCGATTGAAATTCAACTGCATAACCCCAGACTCTGTGTCCGAAAGAGACTTGTGTGACACCACTTAGTTGACTCTATGACCCGTTCCGCCATGTGCCACTCCTTTTTTGGAGACCTCCGCCAGCAATCCAAGTGCATACCTCGGCTTGGCCACGTGCTCTGTTCGCCAGCTGGACGACTTCCTCACAACTGCGCTAAAGGTGGAAACGAACCAGGGGAGGTCAAACAATGACTTGGCAACGAATTATGAGAGCCATTACCGCCAAACTCAGCTGCGCTGGTCATTGCCGTCGCCTTGGATGGGGACCCCGGGACGGGCTTGATCAGTTGTTAGAGACATTGTCAGCCATGGTCCAGTCGCGCTCGTGCATCCGAGCTATTGCCTTCAATGCATAACTGCCTTCCCAGTCTCCTCTTAAAAATCCGCTGACAACCCTCTATTTATGCACTAATTTATCGGCTCCCACCTCCAATGCGCAGCTACCTACCTCACGTCCCCTAATCATTGGTGGGCGAAATTGTGGCAGCTACAACCATTGTACGACAAGTACACGGTGCTTGCAGTTGATCATGATAATGATCATCAAAGACAGCAACATCAGTGTTGGCACTGATGCTTCACTGCCGTACAACCATAAGGTTAAAAGCCCTACAGTGAAAGGAGGAAAAGAGTTGGTGGGGGAGGGGACCTAGTGCTGGCCTATGTCATTCTGAGGTGCCTTCACCTCCAACCGCTCAATCAGACAATCTGGGAAGAAACTGACAACACGAATGCCACTGACATCGATTAGCTGCCATTTCTTGCAACGTCTCGAGATAAGCACACGGGGACTCCATCTTGAAAGGCGTACAACACCAACAACACCTGAACTCTTCGTGATCCCTTTCACGCCTTTCTGCCAAGTCACGTGCTGTCCACCTCGCGGTTTGTGCCATCCTCGTCTCGGTAGACAGTGTTTCGGCATGCGTAGCACATGACCGAGCCATCGTAGTCGATGATGCTGTATGTTTTCTCGGATTGAAGTGTCTGCAGCTCAACCAAATACCCGTTTTCTAATGACCTCGTTACTGTCATGCTGACTCCATTCAGAACCAGCCACGCTTCTGAGGCATCGGTGGTCTAAAACCTGAAGACGCCTGACATCATCTGTCCGCAGAAGGCCATGTCCGCACTGATGATGATAGAAGGCAAATCAAAGTCAACTTTCATTCACAAGCAGCGAGCCACTAACCACGTGGAGAATCTTGGATAGAATGGGTGGGTTTAACTACACCGAATTTATCAAGAACGGTGTTGGTAACACGCACCAGCTGGCAAATTGATAAGTAAGACTATAGGAGGATGAGGTAGAGATCTAGCACGGTTAAAACCAACCTCACCAGCTATCTTTCGAGCTATCCGCCCAAAGTTCACTTCAGTATGTGTTTCGTTTACCCACCCCCGTCGGATTCATCATTCCTGAACTGTCGTTTGACTGGTCATCCACTTGTGGCCAAACAGTTAAGTGTTCAAGCATTGGTCGGAAGGTTACTGGTTCGAAACTCCCCGAGTTTCGTGAGGTGCGCACTACAATGATTCGCAGCAAAGATGAAACAGTTGTTCAGCGCCTCTCGGCTTTTCAGTATGGTTTGGCCTCACTGACAGGTTGAAATGACACATTCAGCTGTAGAACCATCCCGGTGCCTGTCAGGGCGCGCCCAGACAGAAGAAAACGCACATATACGGAGAGTGACGCATCCCCAAGGTCACCATCGGTTCGACACGTCCGGAAAGTAGGTGAGTTGGCGGCTCCCACCAAACACGGCTTAGCAACATACGACCAGCGTAGTGGGCCTGAAATTGTTCACGACCGGAACACCACCATTGGCTGTACGGAACGAACAAATGAACGACCATATTTGGCCAATTAGTCATCCTATATATCAACGCAGACGTTCTGTATGTTTTCCTCCTGGCAATACAGCCGTGTCCCCAGTTCTCTGTCTTCTCCCTATCCCGTAGTCTGGCAGGCTCAGCGCAGGGCGTAACCCCATAGACGGCCACCCCACGATACAAAAGTGCCCAGGTGCCATGCTACGAGAGAGAAGCACGGGTGACTGGGATACTGCCAGGTTGCCCAAGCTTAGACAGGGGAATTCGAAATACCAAAGTCGGGTTTGAGCCACGAACCTTCCGGTCTGTAAATTCGCGCTCTAACCACTTGGATTGGAATCTCAGTTGCTGAATCTCACGCTACCAATAATCGAAAGCAAAAAATCTTTTAAAACAAATTAGTGAAGTCAATTGGTAACAGGTACACACGTCAGATGAATCGGACTAACGATCAGTAGTTTCGCAGTTACTATCTTCAAATCATGAGATCTCTGTGAAATTGCGGACTTTTGGTCTGGCCTTATCGTATCCGAAAGCCGATCATGCTGACAACCCCTACTTTGTCCAACTTCTCATGTCCGTTGGGAAAGTCAGTTTCGTTCTCTTCGATTTCACAGTCCCGCGGAACACGGTCTGATTCAAGAAATCTTGCCTGCCCCTTCTCTCAGAAGTTGATTGATAGCGACGGCCATGCTGACCCACCTAAATATGCTGCACAACTTAATGTTCATTTCCACTTGTGTCTCACCTGCTAATCTGTATGGAATAGCAGTTTTCATACACTTCCACGGTTCCCATAATAGATGTTGTTAGGCGGAATTCCGCACCAAGATTGCTTTACCGCTCGCGGTTGAGCACTGCTACGGCCAAGTTAGGCCGTGCTAGGCCTAACCCACCTGCAATTGGCCCGAATTTCGGATCGCTTGTCGTTCCAGTATCACAGCGAGTTCTGATTGGCCGAAGTTATGGACCCAGCAGCCAATCATCATTCAGTAACCGCTGAGTGTGATTGCTAATGCTGCATCCAGAGGGTGTCGGAATTTTCACAATGTTGTCGCCTCATACACTAAATACGACACGCCATGTGTTTTTCACCTGTTTTTGGACGTTCAATACACGTATTGCATCTCTGGGGACTTTTGTCGAAGAGGTTAGTGTGGAAGGTTCAGGCCGAGCTTAGGCATACTGCAATGGTGAGAAGTTACTACACGCTTAATTCTCCTATGCAGGTGTTTCATCTCGTACATAGTCTCGTTGCCCCCCCCCCCCCCNCCACCTAGTTTCTGACACGTTCCGACTTGCTTCCTTTACAGCATTGTTGGTTGCGTGGAACAGCGGCTTACTGGTTTCGTCATCGGTTTACTCGTGGCTTTGTCGGTGATTGTGGAAGCCCAACTGTTTGCCCTCATCCCAATGGGTGCCCTCTACGGGATGTTCATGTACATGGGGATCATGGGTCTCCGTGAGCTGGTGGTCGTCCGTCGCCTGTTGGCTCTGCTCAAGCGACGCAAGCACTGGAGGGTAGGTGTTCATGTTTCCACTCATTCTGATCAACTCTGATTGGTCAAAGGATTGTCTAGTAGTTTTTCGCAAGTTCTGATAAGTCATAAAGTCACTGCTCATAAATGGACAACCGCTGGTTTAGTGTGCTCGTGTTGTTATCAAGCGATGGAATACTTGAGTGTCTCTATCATTCTCCAACACCAAACTTTGCATCCTTGTGTTCTTTTCATCAAAGGATCGAGAATACCTTCGTCACCTACCATCGGCGGCTCTGGCCTCGTTTGTTGCTGTCCAAATGGGTTTCATACTTCTCCTGTTGGCGCTCAACTGGACGACCGAATTCGCTCGAATCGGAGCCACCTCGCTCCTGTTCCCGTTCATCCTACTCCTCTTCGGCGTGGTTCGTGAGTTCGTACTGCCCCGTTTTCGCCTACTTCGATCCTACCTGCATGAGGTACGCCAACCTGTTCCTTTCTGTTCCTCACTGTACCTACAAACTCAATGTTGACCGGATGGTACACGCGCTACCAGTGCAGCGAATGAGGCTTCCGAGATGTCAAAATAGGTCGATCGCTTCTCCTCTCGTTCTGACCACTACATTTCATGGTTTGTCTCCCTCTTTAACGTATCCACTTGAAACAGCCAACCCGGGGAGAAGGCTGCTAACCTAAACCTAGTTAGTATGGCAGTCATGCGCTGTAAGGACTGGACTATCTTTCTAATGATGATCGATAGTTTATCGTGGTCCAATGAAGTAATTGTGTTCGAATCATCATTGCTCTCTGGTGGCCTTGGATCGTTAGCCATCACCCGTGATTCGAAGAGGCGGGACGTATAACTTTTAAAAATGAGTTTGACTCAGTGAATTCGGATCGACTCTGTGACTCTGTCAATTTTGGTGTACGATTTTCTCTCACAAAGCTTAGCTTTCATGTAAACAACGCGTTCTTATCCAATTCAGTCTCGTTGAGGACCTGGGATTCAGAAACGTCTCAATCAAATAACCTTTAGACAAATACACTTATTTGCAGACTAATTTTGGTATTTCGACAGATTCATCTGTAACCCAGCTTAATCTCTCGTCTGTGGTCGTGGGCTGTCGACTCAGCAACCTTATGAGTAGTGCATTACAAATAAACTTTTAGACAACTCTCATCTGTTTAATCATTTCGAATCAGTTGAACAGTTGTAGTATCAGAAAAGTAAACCCTTCTTCCACAATGCGCTTTTTCTCATCTCCCCAGATGGACCGACTTCACAATCTGCACCTTCCAAGGAATCATCGGTTCCATGGGAATTGCTGCCGTTGCTCAGGACCACTTCACCCACACATTCGTGGTGATAGTCTTTCAGAAAGCAGACCACGTGATCTAAGTAAACTCCATGTGGTTAGTTTTCTTCAACGCGAAAACCAAAGTATTATTGCGGATCAACTATCTGCAGACAACTCCAGAGAACACTTTTCGAAGACGACCAGTGCTATGTCTCATCTACCTCATACGGCGTGGACTGTATCGTCCGAGTTGGATCATCTCGTCAGCAAAGACGAGCGGCCCAGCTTCAAGTACAACTCTTGGACGAGGCTGAGTGTACCCTTCCCGAGTAGCAGTCCCGTTGATATGACGCGGAATGTGAACGTTACTGCGGAGGGATCTCGCTTGACGAATGTGGATGAAAATATCTTCCTTCCTGCTCGTGACGTCCCCTCTTCGTCGCTTAGTCTATCCAGTGTTGAGGAGTACTCAGAGAGTGAGCTGGAACTCCGATTGGACAACCCGTATTGTTTGGATTAGCGACGTGTCCATCTTTTTGCTATGGATCTCCGTACACTTATTTACCATGACTACCCCGAGAACCCCCCCCCCCCCCAGATGACTATGTAGAATCAAGTTTTTCCTTATTTTCCATGCATTTTTGTTCAGTTCCCGTTTACTGCGTTTGTTTTTTTTCTTTTCCCTGTGTGTGTGTGTTCACACATCGTTTCGCGCATTTGTACTGAGGAGAATCTCATCAACCTGTCTGTCCAGCCATGACGCGTACGCAATACACAGACTAAGTTTGTTCGTAACTTTTCCTGTTGTCCGTAGTATCGGGGAATGGAGAAGCGCATTGGTGTCCACTTGAGACTCTCGTTTATGATATTCTTCAATTTGGGATATCGCAGCGCATATTTTTTGACGGGACTCTACTGGTATAACGGTGGATACTACTGATGAGGCCCGCGAGTAGCATGTTTTCTCGTAAATTCGCTTCGCGTCTCTTGAAAAGAGAGATCTATTACGGAATTTGTGGAGTCACCTTGTAGAATTTGCTTGCATTTGAGCAACAGTCAGTGAATATCCAGGAAAGTTCAGGAAGACGCGTTCAGGGAGAAGATGGATATTCAGTTTTTGTAAGCAAGTTACATATGAGAGGTTTACTTCCCTGTCCAATAGTCTGTTACTGTTTAGTTGGTGCTTTCTAGCAACTCCGCAAGCCTTCTTTTTTTAGTGGTACTGTTGTTGAAAGCTTTCTAACAGCTGACCACTGGGTTCACCTTTCTTCTCTTTGTGACAAAATTGTGGGAGATTGGAGAAACATGTTCAGTTGAAATTGGTTTGGCTTCAACGGAAGACTCGGCTGTATCTCTCCTCTATAAAATGAACAGTCGTTCAGCTGTAGCACCTCTTCGGTACCTGGCAGCCATACCAACGAAAAGGAGACACGAGGGCCGGGATACCACCAAGTTGCTCAAGCCTGGAGAGGATCAGTCGAGATGCTGAGGTCAGATTCGAAATGCTAGGTGATCCGTCTTGGTGAGAACTGACAGGAGGCTCGCTAGTAGGTTGGGCTGCGGGCCGTGTCCTGTAAGGTTTACAAACACGTGCAAGGGCGTACGTAGTGCACTCGTCAAACACCTTGACAAGACAAGGCTGCGCGAAAGGCCCCTACTCACTGTCTAATGCTCACTTGCAGGCCGTTTCAGTACGTACATGCTACTACGAAGAAAGCAATGATCGTATATCTGAAGAAGTCTGATATCTTCGGATGATGACTACCTTTCTATAAACCTAACCAACGTGGTATCGACTGAAATTTCACTTGAAAATTGCCTAAACACCTCATAAGAATGCTCTTGTAGGCTTCGTATAGACGAGGGTTTCGGATGAACCTTGACTGAATGTTCTCTCAGCGTCAGGCTGATTTGAAATTGATTAAGTATCGCAACACACGTTCAACCCCAACGAAAGATCCGCGGAAATACTGCGACCGAGCTCGCCTGATTAGCCCCAAGGAGGGCAAAGCAAGTCGTGGGATTTCATCACCCTTTGGAATAGTGCTCAGTGAAGTAGAACTCGTTCATTGAAAGCTACGGAAACCAGGAATTTTGAGTCGGTTTGGTGAGCCCTCGTTTTCGGACTCAGTTATGTTATGCTTCACGAAGATCGCAACGAGAACCAAGGACTAAAGCTGGTTAAGATACTATCGATTGGGTTTGCGGAACTCTGTAATGTCCGTCTCTGTTGGTGTTGATATTCGCTGTTTGTTTCCTCATGAGGATTGGAGTATATGGATCGCTTTCGACCTCATTTCAATATCCTAAAGCTGCAAGACCAACCAATGCTCACTGTCCGATCTTCGACCGACTATCTACAGTAAGACTATCGAAAGGCTTAAAGCTTTTGTCTACTTTTTCAAGTGACCAACTGGTAAGCGGAATTACACACGGATCTCGCTTTACCGCTCGTAGTCAGGTGCCGCTACGGACGAGAAGCCCATCCCACGCAAGATTGGTCACAAACTCGGGACGCTTGCCAAAAGTCCGGACCCAACAGCCGATCACGATCCAGTATTGGCCGAATGCCGGTTGCCAATGGCGCACCCAGAATGCTTCTTCAGAATTTGCGGAAAGTTATTACCGCTTATGCTATATATATGGATCGCTGTACAAGTGTTCCCGACTTCGTTTTGGGCGTGCACCTTTGGTGGTTGTTTTGACGTGAACGCTAGCTTGGGAGGCTCAGACCGAGAAGTAAGCTGAGAAAAATACCGTTACTAAACCAACCATACATGCAGTGTCTGCCACCAACGTAATCCATCACTTGTTGTTGCAAAGTCGTATTGACGGAATAGACCAACGCCTATCTGAGCTCAGTACGCGGTTTCTTGCTTGAGGTCGAATGGCCAACCTGCATAGTCTGTTGCCAAAACTACGCTACAAACTGGTCACCACGTCGTTGATCACTGAGAATCCGAAGGTTTCGTCTGTCAAGGAATCTGTGTTTATCTGGATTTATCAGCCAGTTATCAGTGTACACAAAAGGTTTGAGGCGAGCAGGACGTTGCGCGTTGTTTGAATGATATGAATTGGTTTACATACGAGTTTCTTGGGGGGAGAGTTGATCTGCGATTACGATTGGTCAGTAATCTTGTTGATTGAATTCTTCACTCCTCTTCTGATTGGTGGACGTCCAGATGAACTTTGAACATCAAATTTCCTTGCGACTGATTCTGTCGTCTGATGCCTTACCATCTATGCCTTATTTGAGTGAGTTTGACATCTCTTGCTTGAGTTCTGTCACCAGTTGAGGTGACATCGTTGGGAAGCTGACCAGAGCAGGACGTTGCGCGTTGTTTGAATGATATGAATTGGTTTACATACGAGTTTCTTGGGGGGAGAGTTGATCTGCGATTACGATTGGTCAGTAATCTTGTTGATTGAATTCTTCACTCCTCTTCTGATTGGTGGACGTCCAGATGAACTTTGAACATCAAATTTCCTTGCGACTGATTCTGTCGTCTGATGCCTTACCATCTATGCCTTATTTGAGTGAGTTTGACATCTCTTGCTTGGTCCAGTTCGAGGGGTCGGTTGATTGAGCTCGTCATGAATTACCATAACTCTGGAAACTCCCTTGGGTGTCTGATAGTACTCCAGACACTAGAATCTTCCATTCTGAATTGATGATCTCCAGAGAGTTCCCTCCCGGTTGAGTCGGTGCAGTGCTTGTTGCATTCGCCACACTTTGCATGAAAAGTTGTTGACTTGTCTGAACTTTAAAATCCACGTGGTTGGAATATTCTTGCTCTCCTTCCAAATATTTTCTTTAAAACTGCTCTATTGATCTGTTTAAACCGCTGTTGTTACTGAGATATCTTTTTTCCAAATTTTTTTCAATGTCCACGTTTTTCTTTCTTCCGCGGTGCTGTAATTGGCTTCTGCCCCTTCGAGTAGATATTAAGTTCGATTTTTTGTGGTCCGTCGGCTTTTTACCAAGATGGCTTGATATTTTGTTTATATGCAATTTCTGGATCTTTTCCAGATAAGACTCGCCACCAATGCGAACTTACATGTGCGAAAAGTTGAGCTCCGCCCTACTTTTTGCCAGCTCCAATTTAATGTACGCACACAACCTTGATCTATTTTTGATAAGAACTATTCAATCAGGCTCATTTTGTGCAAACATTTTCTCTCGTTCATGACGAGGAGAGGGCAATACGTCTTTTGCAAAGCCACGGAGTGATCCATCAGTCGCGTTTATGCCAACAAATGACACTTTCAACTGTTTCCGACAGGCGGAGGTGGAATGCCCGACAGTGTCGGCAAGAAATCGGTCTTCGAAAGGGAACTTGGCTGGAGTGGTCTAGGATGGAGTTTCGCACAGAAATTCTATTCATTTATTGCTGGTCCAAAAATTTGGCAAAAATCAAATTCTGCTCAGAGCCACACGACCGCTGTTGACTGGAAGAACTTTCTTCGCGAAGTTTGCGCCTGGTGGCTTTTGCGGAATCTAACAGTTATCGGCCGCCCAGGTCTACTCGTCGAGATCGATGAAACGCTAATATCTGGCGGTAAAAACCACGCAGGCCGAGTACCTCCCCAGCAGTGGATTTTCGAAGGAATCTGCCGGGACACTAAAGAAGTGTTCAAGTATGCATTGCCAGGTCGAACTGCGGTCACTTTGATGGACACAATCCAAGCCTGCATTGCTCCCGGCTCAGTCATCATCTCCGATCTGTGCGGGGTTGACTTTTTGGTGGGGCTTATCTGGAGAAGATACAATTTTTTCCAATATACACAAGTGGACCAATGCGTTCAAGAACGATAGTTTGCTGTCTTTATCCAGTTCAAATTTAAACGCAATATCCTCAACTGGATTGTCGATCGATGTGTGCGTGTGCTCTATCGAGTTCCGTGTGGATAACAACCGGATCACTAGGGTAGTGTCTCTCAGTTGACCAATAAAAATCATGTGATTAATTCTAACATCTCTCCCCGAAAACTGCACCGAGATCAGTTGAATTTCATTGCCCAACCACAGCGGATGCACTTGCGATTCGCTCGCGCAACCCAAGTTTGCACGTTCGTACACGCACTGAGTCTCTCGAGATCTGCTCACGTGAACGCTGGCTATTCAGACCAATCGATCGTGAATTGAACATTTTTCACATTTTTACCGCAGACTGCACTTTACCTTTGTTTTACCTTATCGATCGCCCGTTCTTAGGTTCATTATCTCCCCATCTGTATTGACCTGAAGAAGAGATTGCGAAACGTTCAAAAGTTGCCAACTTGTGTTTCGATACCAAAAGGGTTGTAAACATATCGGATCCAAAGTCTCCAGCTGTTACTGACCTTGACAGGCTGCGTCGCGCAACCAATCAACGGTCTTCCATCAGTACTATCGCCTCCAGTACACAGCCATCTTGTTCTCAGCTATAACGGACAAACAAAACCATTTAATGTCAACGTAATGGATGAGCCGTAAACTTGAACCAATGATTCTCGTTTCCTAATCTCCTTCGCTTGGGTTAACGAAGCGCCAGAGTTTGGCACCGCCGGTGTATGCATCATCATCATCAAGGACAGCAAAATCAGTGTTGGCACTGATGCTTCACTCCGTACGTATATCATGGTTGTACGAGGGCTGGGATACTGCCAGGGCGCCCACACCTAGACACGGAAGTCAGGGCGTTCGGCTGGAAATTCAACTACATTACCATTTTTTACGGAACGCGTTGCCATGCATGTTCCAACCCCGAGCCTGGAGGGTCAGGAGACTGTGTTCGTCGGACCTCTACACATGGACCAACCTGAAATGAGAGACTCTGTGAGCATCGTGCGACCACTCCTCAGTATACCTCAATGGGTCGCCGAGGTGCACAAACCGCCACACCACGGTAAGGTCCAGTCTCTTCGTGACGAGTCGGTGAATAGCGTGTAGGTGAAAAACTGAATGAAAGGCTGATTGGTTGTCCGCCGGGCAAATTAGTGACCCATTAGTTGTCCAGAACTATCGATACTGTGTACAAACTCATCAACCTTCTCCGAAGGTTGCTGGCTGCGGTCCCTGTTACTGAAACGATTGGTCGAAGAGGGCCTTTGGTATCCAAAACGAACTGTGCAACGGTCAGCCTAGGAGAAACTAGAACAATTAAGAAATGTCAACCGATGTTTTGAAGGTTCCAGTCGGTCTATAGCCGTCACTTCATCTCTCAGTACTCCTCCGTTGTTTTCTAGCGTGTCGCTGGTCGAAAAATTAGAGCACGAGGGTCACCATTTCCATGCGATCTCGAACGAACTATCGCCGTTTTGCGTTCATCCTAGGATGGGGCGAGATAGCTCAAGTGGTTAGAGAGCGAATTTACTGACCGGAAGGTCCGTGGTTCGAACCCGACCTCTCCCCCTCGACTTCCTCCGTCCAGGCTTGGGCAACCTGGCATTATCCCAGACCCCGTACTTCCTTCAGGCAGCATGACACCGGAATGGTACTACAACTGAACGATTTTCATTTCATCCTAGCCTTAGTAACGAAATCTGTCTACAGAAAAGTGGAGTAAAAAGGAGACCTCCGGCTACTCTGTTTATGAGCGAAATTGAAACTCATCACCTAAGTGCATCGGGTGGACTAGTTGTTCTGCGTATTCACAATGCAGAGACGACACGTTTGAACTTGCCACAGTTAATATCAGCCCAACTGAACCTGGCATCTTAAAGAAGGCAAATGGGAAATTAAAACGTGTCACCAACAGAAAACAAACATTGATTGGTTGATATTTCACTTTGACAGATCCGATCACTTTCACAACAGAAGTAGAAAGCAATTAGCTGAGAGGGCAATCAAGATGTGTTTCTCTGGATGCCCACAAAAGGATTTAACATCGTATAGATGTAATACACTACTCGTAAAGTTGCTGAAAACTCTTCTACAGCAGACGAGCGTTTTCGCCGTTCTATTTCACGCTCACCAGGTAGGCGCATTCCACCAGTGTCCGTTAATCTCATTGTTGTATCTGACTGCTGACCCGCTCCAGTGCCTAATGCCGGAAAAAAGAGGCTCACAGAAGGGAACACAACAGCTATATTCCAGACAAGCGAGTGCGAGAGCCTGAGTGCGTGCGAGTGCGAAAACACGACGGCCTCAAGCTATTTATTGGAGTGACACTGTCTAGCTTGGTCCAACGGTGGCGCAGGCGGTCTGGCTTTGGTACGAGACTGTGACGCCCTGCATATTGCGGGGGTGTTGTCCGACCTTGAACAACACCTACTCGCGCTGTCTGAGTTTGATACAAGGTTGTGACGCGCTGCATATTGAGGGGCGTTATCTGACCTTGATCAACGCTGACCAGCTGTCTGGGTTTTGGTACGAGGCTGTGACGCGCTGCACATTGTGTCTGGTCAGTATCTACCTGAGCTGAGGGCATTCAGTGGTTGCTTTGAGGAATCTGACCTTCCTGATACTTACGTTCCGACTTAACCAGAATCGCGTGAATTTCAACTAATACCAACCTGGTATTCACGGAAGACTAACCTGAGTGGTGTATTATGTATGTGCAATTTACTGCGATATCTCGGATTTCGCATAAACTGAAACAGTTAAAGAAGAACACCACGAGGATTCCAGACAGGGATTGAGCTGGGTTCAAGGTAGGCCTCCCATCAAAACTAAATTTGTCTGCAGATGAGCGCATAAGTCGATTATCGAGAGACTCGGGTTCAAGTGGAACATAAGATTTAGGGAAACTGTGCCTACCTGATGACCCTGAGAACGGTAAAAGCGGTGGTCGGCTGTCGAAGAGGCTTGCGGGTGTTCCTCCAAGTAGACTGAGGTTGATCATAGCTCTGGTGCATTTAGAAAGGGCGCGCGCACCGATATATGCAGAAGTACCAGCAAGTTTTATTTGATATAATAAGAAAATCGTTCCACTGTTGCAGTGCCTAACTGCTATGCCACCTAAAGGAAGCACATATGATATTGTAAGGTTGCCGAGACAGGGGAAGTCAAGAGGCAGAGGTCGGGTTCGAACCATGAACCTACCGGTCAGTAGATTCGGGGTCTAACCACTTGTGTCATCTCGCCCCGTTATATTTGATAAAGTATACGAGAAAACGCCGTGGAACACATCGGTTAATCTGTTCTTTCCATCAACTTTACGTTCCACCTGAAGGTCAAATTGTAAGCCTGCTTGATCGACGCCAAGCTGGGGGAACCTAATGACTGGTAAAGCAGTAATACATCACACTAAATGAAACTAAAAATGTACTATGCTTAGTTCATAACGAGCGCTTTTATCACCTCACATGACTCTGTTAACCTAGCATTATATTTTACGGCTTTAATAGATGGTAATACCATTCCAGCCTGAAAATGATCAGGGTATCCTTGAAGAAACCGCGGTTTCTTCAAAGTTAGATTTTGGTGGCCTTTTATGTTAAATGCCTGCAGTAATGCATCGTATTACGATACACATAAGTGTTACGAGGAAATTCTTGCATGAGATACACATCCTCAAATTTAGGAATACTTGCCATCCTCAACGATACGGTTAGACATGGTTCAAAAGTTGATCTTGTCGAGTTAACATTGCCCCTAAATGAAATTGTTAAATACTAGATTTGATGCTGACCTTGAAAAATTCACACCGTGAGATAAAAGCACACGTAATTGGAACCCAATCAGACCCGCGCTGACGATGCCACCTCGATTGGTAATGAAACGCGTGCAATCCAAATGTCAGGCTCGGTGAACAGACCAAAAAGCAGCCGAAATATATCTGAGGGTAGACAACTGCACGAGCCTGAAACTTATGTTTTCGAAGTCTGCGCAACTTGACAGCTCTCGTGCTTTCTTGAGAAGACAAGGCCGCTGGGCCGTGAAAGGACGTTCTCATCATTTTAATTTTGTAAAGGTATAAAACTTGTCCCGAGTCAACCGGTCCAGCGCAACCAGTTCGCCTTAGAAGAATTTCTTCAAAAATGGTCGGTCTTCACCTTTAATTTACTGAAACGCTGTGATACAGCTGAAGCTTCAATAAACTCACTTCCCTGTGGTTCGTCAGGTGTAACTTAGAAGCCAAAGTGAACCGAAAAAATTGATTTTCCTCGCCAGGCTAAGACTTTGTTGCTTGCTCATTCTGTTCAAAGATAGCTGGGTTTTTTGGCTCCGTAATTCACTGAAAGAAATAACTTAATGGGGAGCCCAGAACACAAAATCCTTCAGGACTCCTTCGACAGTGAGCCATTTTTTTCGTCTGTTTAAAAAGCTACGTGATAAATGGTCATTAACGAGTGCATGACCACAGTGAGAACTGAGGAGTTGGTACTGTGGAGAAAGTTGGTATTCGATCATCTCCCCAGGAGTCTCTTGTGTGGCGGCTAAAGATACCAGAACCGTCAGCCTTATTCTGCAGGATACCGTGAAGTGGAATTGACACGACATCAAAAAAACGTGTGGATTTATTCACTCGTTGTGTGTTGATTCCTTTCATTCTGAGTTCGGGGTGAAAAAGCCCAGTGTGGTGTAGCTTGACGGGTGAGGCACTGGGCTATTTGGAACCTCAGGACTGAAAGCAGTTGGTCGTCAGAGCATTCTGCCTTACTTTCCGGTGGTAGGTCCGAGCAGGACCGCATTAGGCTGCCAAGAACATTTGTTTCAACGAACTACTATTATTTATTTAGTAGTCAGAGTTTTTAGGCAAAGTAACAAAAGACAGCATGAGTTTTGCTTGCGGTTCGGAAAACGGTGGCAGTGATTTGCTAATCTGTTTATAAGAAAACGGTGCACCTTAAGATGGTGGCGTCAGAAAACTGCATTACGCTCCATAGGAAGCTTCTCAATTACAACGCAAAACGATGAGTAATCGCTGCGCATTTGGCCGCTTCTTATTTTAGGGACAAGAGTTGATCACTCATTCAGTTAGACACCCTGCGTCTGACTAGACTTTTCAGCTACCACATCATATCCGGTCATCGAGGCTGTCGAGTTTACGGGCGGCAGTACCTCGGGTTTACTTGGGGGACTTTTATGGCATATAGTGTCAACTGCTGGTCAGCGCCGATTCCGTTTGGTATTTCCGTACGACCTACTTAAACTGTGATGCCTCATCAGGCGATGCTATCCTTCGGGCAATGTGTGGTGAAGGCAACTCGGGCAGCGCGTATTCATTCAACCACAGACGGTCTGACGGAGCGAACCAACTAGATCTTGAATGTCCACGGGAACGATATGACTTTCAAATACTCTGGCCTAAACAGACTGACAACACGACATCATCCATAATCGATTGTCTCATGAAACCATTCCGTTTTTGCATGCTTCCTTGAGAAGATCCATGAATAGCACAACACATTTTATTCCAATTTGGGGTGTGTATACTACTCAAGATTCTAGTAAAGGTTCTACAGCTTCCTGCGATCACGAATTTCTGGGTTCCGCACCTTTCTACCGGACCAACGTTCAAATACTTCGTACAGATGACTACCAGGCAACTCGAAGAATGCTATGGTACCGCGGTGCTTTACCGCGGTACTTTCGTGCCGGTAAAACTTGGTATCCGGGTTGTCTTCTTTGGTTCAAATTTCTAAAAGATGTAAAACTTGCCAAGGCCAACAACTGTCTTGCAAACCAGGAGTTACTTCGGCTGTCGCTTTTTCGCTCGCTGTGCTACAAAATCCAACCTAAACGTACTGTCATTTGATTGCTGCGATTGCGCAGTGGTATTATGTACGCAGCTACAACTCTCTTCATTGATGAAAAACATTTTCGGATATAAGTAGTGTGCAAGGATCTCCCAAAGGCACAGATGACTCGCAAACGTTTCTATACGGTTTGGGGCCGCTAAGGTAAGTAATAACCCCGGAATAAGAGACAATCGATATTTAATTTGAAAAGCCATTTGGCTGAACGGTCATTTTTGAACTGATGTGCTGAGGTTGCTGAGGTACAGATGTGTTGAGGTTCCCGATACGGAACTTTGAGTGCCGCGTAGGTTCGACAATCCCGAATATCGAAAGAAAGAATTGGGTTCGAAATTCTACGGTACACAAGTGTAATCAAATGTACACCGTTGTCCACGTTCGAAGCATCAACAAGTCCACAAGTCTGTCACTGACCGGGGCAGCGCAGTGTCAACGTC